GGAATAGAGACCCCAGAAATAGACCCAGTTACTATATGACCCAGGAATTCTACTCTTGGATATTTATCCCAGAAAAATGAAAACTTATCTTTACACAAAAATCTGTACATGAATATTCATAATGGCTTTATTTGTAATAGCAGGAAACAATCCAGATATCCTTCAACAGGTGAATGGATAAACAAACTGTGGTACTTCCATACCATGGACTACTACTCAGCAATAAAAATAAACTATTTATACAGGCAACAACTTAGATGAATCACCAGGGAATTATGCTGAGTGAGAAGAGCATAATTAGTATCCCTATTATATGCTGTATGATTCTATTTATATGATATTCATCAAATGACAGAGTTTTAGAAATGGAAGCAGAGTGGTGGTTGCCAGAATTTTGGAATGGATGGAGGAAAGGGGAAAGGGAGGTAGATATTGTTATAAATTAACAACACGAATGATATTTACAGTGCTGAAACTGTTCAGTATCATAAATGTGGTGGTAGATACACAAAACTGTAAGTGTGATAAAATTGTCTTACACACATTCACAAATGAGTACAAGTAATGCTGGAGATATCTGAGTGAAATCAGTGGCTTGTATCAATGCCCATATCCTAGTTGTGTTATTGTACTGTAGTTTTACAAAATGTTACCATTAGGGGAAATGAAATCTCTGAAAGGAAGGTACATGAAATCTTTGTATAATTTATTATAATTGCATGTGAATCTATAATCATCTCAATAAAAATTTCAATTTACAAGAAGCTATTTTATATACCAACAAAAGATAATATTGAACCTCAATATTATGATAATTGCAAAGCTTGTTGTATTGTTTGTTGTGGGAAATATAATTAACTTGGAGAATAACACTCGTTCAATGACTCGCCAAAAAAGTAATTATACAAAAACCTGAAAATGGATAGAGGTTGGGCACGGTGGCTTACACCTGTAATCCCAGGACTTTGGGAGGCTGAGGCGGGTGGATCGCCTGAGGTTAGGAGTTCGAGACCAGCCTGGCCACCAGAGTGAAACCCTGTCTCTACTAAAAATACAAAAAAATTAGCTGGACATGGTGGTGGGCACCTGTAATGCCAGCTACTTGGGAGGCTGAGGCAGGAGAATCACTTGAACCTGGGAGGTGGAGGTTGCAGTGAGCTGAGATCATGCCACTGCACTCCAGCCTGGACAATAAGAACAAAACTCCGTCTCAAAAAAAGAAAAGAAAAGAAAATGGATAGAAAACAGCTATATGAGGCAAATACTAACCAAAATAATAAAATGTATAGCAGGCCAGGCGCAGTGGTACATGCCTGTAATCCCAGCATTTTGGGAGGCCAAGACGGGCAGAATACTTGAGCTCAGGAGTTCAAGACAGCCTGGGCAACATGATGAAACCATATCTCTACAAAAAAATATAAAAATTAGCCGGGCGTGGTGCATGCCTGTGGCCCCAGCTACTTGGGAGAGTGAGGTGAGAGGATGGCTTGAATCCAGGAGACAGAAGTTGCAGTGAGCTGAGATCGTGCCACTGCATTCCAGTCTGGGCGACAGAGCCAGACCCTGTCTCAGAAAAAAAAAAAAAATATATATATATATATATATATATATATATATATAGAGCAATATTTATATCAGACAAAACAACCATTATGAATGAATGTTATTATTACAAAAAGGATCATTAATGATAAAAGAAAAAAATTATCTGGACTATTTAACAATTGTAAACTTGTATTACTTAACTAGCACGGCCTTGAACAATCTAGAGCAAAAATTAAGGATAGAGAAAATGACAGTTCATAATCTTAGTTCTGGAGGTTTTGCTTAAAGTACTTTTCTTAGTAACTGATACATTATGAAGCCAAAAATTTTTGTAAGTAGAATATTTGAACAACACATGAAACCCATCAATTAGACATCACACATTATTATAAGAACATATGGAACATTTATAAAAATCAATCTTGTATTAGCTTACAAAGAATGCCTAAATACCAAAGAATTGATACTTTAGAGCAAGGGCCAGCCATCTGTGATCAGTAGACCAAATCCAACCTGCTGTTTTTGCAAATAAAGTTTTACTGGCACACAGTTATGTCCATTTATTGACATTATCTATAACTGCTTTCACACTACAATGGTAGAGTTGAGTCGCTGTAACAAATATATGACCCACAAAGCTTAAAATATTTACTATATGGCTTTTTATAGAAAAATGGCTGACCCCTGCCATGAAGAATAGATTATTAGAACACAGTGCAGTGTTAGAAATCAATAACGCACAGAGAGAGACAAATGCTTAGAAATTAAAACCCACACTTTGAAATAATTCAGAGGTCAAAGAAGAAAGTCTAAATGAAACTTAAAGAATATATCAATATCTAACATTGAAAATGTACATTTCAAAATGTGAGATGCAGGAAAAGAAAATGTCAGAGAGAAATTTAGCCTTGAAAATGTTAATATTTATAAGAAAGATATAAAATTAATGTGCCAAGTATTCAACTCAAGAAGCTAGAAAAGGATAGCCAATTGATTTTGGACAGGAGTGCCAAGACAATTCCATGGAGAAAAACTAGTCTTTTCTACAAATGGTCCTAGGACAGCTGGATGTTTACATACCAAAGAGTGAAGTTGGAGCCCTACCTCACAACATATACAAAATTAACTAAAAATGGATCAAAGACCTAGATGTAAGAGCTAAAACTATAGAACTCATAGAATAAAACATAGGTATAAATCTATGGTTTCTTAGATACCAAAAGCACAAGCCACAAAAGAAGATCATAGATAAATTGGACTTCATTAAAAACGTTTGTGCTTCAAAGGACACTATCATAAATGTGAAAAGACAACCTACAGAATGGAAGAAATATTTGGAAATTATATATTTGACAAGAGCCTGTATTCAGAATATATGAAAACTAATTATAACAACAATAAAACACAACACAATTAAGAAATGAATAAATAATTGAATAGATATTTCTCTGAAGAAGATATACAAATGACCACCAAGTACATGTAAGAGAGGTTCAACATCATTAGTCATTGGGGAAATGAAAATCAAAACCAAAATGAGATGCTGATTCACACCATTAGGATGACTATAATAAAAATGATTGACAATCACAGGTGCTGAGGATGTGGAGATACTGGATGGAACCTGGTGCATTGCTGGTGGGAATGTAAAATGGTGCCATTGTTTTGAAAAAAGCGTCTGGTAGTTTCTCAAACGATTCAACACAGAATTACCATATGACCCAGCGATTCCACCCCTAGACATATACCCAAGAGAAATGAAAAAACTATGCCCACGAAAATGTGTACATGAATGTTCATAGAAGCATTATTCCTAACAGCCAAAAAGTGGAAATAACCTAAATGTCCCACAACTGAAGAACAGATAAACAAAATGTGGCATGTGCATACAATGGAATATTACTCAGCTGTAAAATGTAGAACTGATTCATACTACAACATAGGTGATCCTTGAAAACATGCCACGTGAAATAAGCTAGACACAAAAGGCCACGTGTGGTGTGATTCAATCTCTAGGAAATGTCCAGAATAGGCAAATTCATAGAAACCAAGTTGATTACTGGTTGCCAAGGCCTCCGGGAAGGGAGAAATGGGGAGTGACTGTTAATGGATACAAAGTTTCTCTTTGGAGTGAAGAAAATATTGTAGAATTAGATAATGGTGGCGGTTCTACAACTTTGTTAAAATGCTAAAAGCCACTGAATGGGATTCTTTAAAAGGGTAAATATGGTATGTGAATTCTATCTCAATCTGTCTTTAAAAAAGAGAGAAAAGAAGCTAGGAAAGAAATTTCAAGATAAAACAAATGAAGGTGGAAGAAAGTAATAAAGTAAATAACATTAATGTAATAAAGAAAAATGAAAAGAATCAGCCAGGCGCGGTGGCTCATGCCTGTAATCCCAGAACTTTGGGAGGCCTAGGTGAGTGGATCACTTGAGACCAGGAGTTTGAGACCAGCCTGGCCAACATGGTGAAACCCAATGTATACTAAAATACAAAAACTAGCAGGGCTTGGTTGCGCACGCCTGTAATACCAGCTACTTGGAAGGCCGAGGGAGGAGAATTGCTTGAACCCAGGTGGCGGAGGTTGCAGTCAGTCGAAATTGTGCCACTGCAGCCTGAGCAAGAGTGAGACTCCATCTTAAAAAAATAAATAAATAAAAATTTAAAAAAAGAGTTGACAAAACCAAAACCTAGTTTTTAGGGGAAAAAGTATAAAAACTAGAGAGAAAATGCTCCAAGTAAGAATAATGAGGGATTCTAAGCAAGCTGACTGAAAACAAAACCTTAAATTATCTGACTGGCGAACGCAATGCATGTGGGTTCAGTGACTGGTGTGGCTGTGTTCTGTTCCACCCACCTACCTCTGCCATTGTGGGGGGCCTAATGCGTGCACTCAGAACCTTCCATCGACCTTCCTTGTGTTTCCCACATTCCTGTCCTACGGGTCCAGATGCCAAGAGTTCGGAGTTTTATGAGGCTCTGCTTTTTCCAGGATTTTTCTTATAAAGAATTTTTCAGGTGTCACAGACTGGTCCACTCTCCTGGCTGTACTGGCCAAATTATTTCAAAATTTGCAACACTGACCGTATTAGATCAAGGCAAGGGACTGACCCAGTTCATTCCCCAAATGCTTGCAGCTCTGCGCAGAAAGCACACCCTAACCTCAGCCCCACCGAAAAAGTTGTGAGCTATCCCGGCCCTTTTGATTCTGTGGCCCCATGTGACCTCTCCCAAGGCCTTAGACAAGCCAAACCACTCCCGTCACGTTTACTACAGGTACTCTTCCCCCACCTGGAAAACTACCACCCAGGGTTTCCAGGTCCTGAACTGATGAAATAGTCCCTTTAGAGCATGTTTTAACATGCCCCTTTTGGATTGGATAATAAAACCTTAGCCATAATTCACAGGAGGAATCAAAGGGCAAAGTCAATAGTAACCTGACTGTCTTGCAGATGGCCCGGAGAATTCCACTCTCCCGCACAGCCCTGGGACCTCGCATGCCGCAGCTGAGACCGTCTCCCCGCGGGTCCGCAGAGCCACAACCTCAAGGACAGAGAGGATATGGCCGGGAGGAGTCATCCCCTACGTCATTGGAGGGAACTTCACTGGTCAGTAGCCACAGACAAGGCCTGCTTTGGGACAGGGTGCTTTGTCTCCCTGGGTTGAGAGAGTCCTTCACAGAAGGACCTGGGTGGGATGGAGCAGATGTCCGAGACCACAGCAGGCCTACAGATGGTGTCCGCCTCGTGCCGGCAAGGCCTGGGCCACCAGTCCTGGGGAAATTACAGTCTCTGTTGGGGCTGTGTCCTCAAAGTTGGTTACCGTCCTCCCGATGCTTCACATGGGGAGTGACCTGGAAGGACCTTGAAGGATAAACAGGGTTTGCATGATGACTGAGGACAAGCCCTCCACATAAAGAAAGTCCATGAGCAACTGCACGTGGTTGGCTTGCCTGTCCTCTGCCTGGATGAGTGTCCTGGACTCCGAGGTCCCCTGCCACCAACCACAGGCATTGTTCCACCCAGTGACCAAAGGGACCAGTGGACATGGCTTGACTCCCTGGGTCCAAATCTCAGCTCCAGCATTTGCCAGGAAGATGCCCTGGGGAAATTAATTGGCCTCTCTGTGCCTCAGTTCCCTCTTCTTTAAATGGGGATGATACTCTCTTCTACCCCTCTGCTTGTTTTGAGAATTAAATGGATTACTATAGATAAAGTGCTTAGAGTAGTGCCTGGCACACAGTAATTAGTATTTATCTGATACTAATATTATCTTTAAAATATGTGAATCATTCCCGGCTTCCCGTTGCCACTAGAATGAAGGTCCTCCCTTGAATACCCCACCATCCCTCTCCTGCCTGGTCTTTGACCCTCTCTCCCCATCTCCCATCCTTCATTTCTACGCTCTGGCCTCACCAGCCATGTGCCCATCCCCGGACATGTGCACCTCATAGGCCCCTGCACACTCACACTTGAACTTGCCTTGGTTGCCGTTTCCCCAGGTATTTGCATGGCTGTCTTCTTCTCATTTGAGGCTTACGTCTAGGGACACATCACAGGAAGGCCTTTCCCTCTCTCCCCCGCCAGTGCCTCCCTGTCCCAGACCCTGCTGTATAACCTTCACAGCACTTAACCATGACCTGAACTCACTTTACTTCTATTTCTGTTTCATTTATTTTTGTCTCTGCCTAAGCTCTGTGGGAGCAGCAGTCTTTTTTCTGTCTCATTTCCGCTTCAGTGTCTCCAATACCTAGACCAGGGCCTGGCACATCCCAGGCAGGTAGCAAATATGCCCACTGCATACCTGCGGCCAATGTCAGTGGAACGCCGGTCACACCGAGAGACTTTCTAGGCTCTCAGTGCCACTTACAAGTCCTTCCCCTCCCTGTGGCTCTGTGACCTGTACTCTGAGAGGTGGCTGCCAAAGGCACATTCCCTGAGGATTTGCCGAAGCCACTGAGAACACTGATGAATCAGCTGGGGAAGTGTGAAGACCTCAGCAGCAGGGCAGCAGAATTCCCAAATTCCCGCAGTTCCCTTTTGCCCCTGCAGCATTAACGCATGGCGTCCTGGTGCCAGGTGCTTCTTGAGGGACTGGTGGAAAAAGATGACTGAGATTTCATCCTGCCCTCGAGGAGGTCTGTTCTCAGAGCAGAGAAAGATGTGGGCCTAAAGAAAAAAAGTAAATGATAAACTGCTCCGAACTTTTCCTCATTGGGATCCTGTGTTCTTTCAGATCTGGTGTGCTTTTCTGACCAAAGATTTATATTACTTTCATGAAAATGAACTAATTTTACATGTAAGAATTTTGTTGACACAAGTATTTCATGTTATTATGTAATTAGTAGGATTGCTATTTTTTGAGTGATTGAGCTATAAACAATTTGAACCAAAAATGTCAGGATGTCAGAAAACAAAAATGGACAGCTAAGTTATCCTATTTTTGTTGTTGTTGTTTGTCCTTTCTTTCTTGTTTTGAGACAGGGTCTCACTCTGTGGCCCAGGCTGGAGTGCGGTGGCATGATCGCAGCTCTCTGCAGCCTCAGCTTTCCAGGCTCAAGTGATCCTCTCACCTCAGCCTCCTGAGTAGCTGAGACTACAGGCGTGTGCCACCATGCCCAGCTAATCTGTTTCTCTTAATTGTTTGTAGAGACAGGTTTCACCATGTTGCCCAGCCTGGTCTCAAACTCCTGAGCTTACGCAATCCACCTGCCCCGGCCTTCGAAAGTGCTAGGATTACAGGCATGAACCACCATGCCCAGCTGTTATTCTTTATTCTGTGTGAATGTTTTGGGGACAACAATATGATACCATACCCACATCATCTAGATGGTGATGGGAGCCTCCCCCAGTGCTGTTGTGCTCATCCATTTTTGTTGCCCTCAAGGAATACCTGAGGCTGGGTAGTTTATAAGGAAAAGAAGTTTATTTTGGCTCACGGTCCTGCAGGCTGTCTCAGAAGCAGCATCTGTTCGTGGTGAGGCCTCAGGAAGCTTGCAATCATACTGGAAGAAAACGGGGAGCCAGAACATCGCACGGCAGGAGGGAGCCAGAGAGAGGTGGGGGAGGGGCCACACGCTTTTAAACAACCAAATCTCACATGAACTCAGAGTGAGAGCTCAGTCACCAAGGGGATGGCACTAAGCCCTTCTTGAGGGACCCACCCCAATGACCCAAACACCTCCCACCAGGCCAGCCTCCAACACTGGGGATTATATGTCAAAATGAGATTTGAAGGGGACAAAGATCCAAGTGATGTCAGCTGTTTGACTTTGTTTGTAATTTTTGTTTTGTTTTGCAATGAGGGCCCCGTAGAACTCCAACCTCCAACTCCCACCATTCTTCATATTTCCCAGACAACTATTTTTTTCTAGATCCTTCTCTTTGCTTCTTTAAACAGTCTTCCTTCTGTCAGATTGATAGATTTTGAAAAGAACTGACTATATGTAACTATCAGCCTGGAGTTTTATTATTCAGCAAATTTCCACTCAAGGAAACACAAAGACGGGTTCAGAGAAGGTATGAAGTTCGCCTATTTTCAAAGGCCTGGAAGAAAAATTAGGCTCAAGGATTCCCCACAAGATACTGAAACCCCGTGCAGAAGTACACAGATGTATATGCAAATCAAAATTTTAGAAGGCACGGGTATACCCTCCGACAGGTCTAAAAGAAAATGAGGGGTGAAGTGCAGTGCTGGTGAGCTGAGTTGACTGCCCCCTACTTCAAAAGCCTGAAGTTTCCAAATTGAATAACCTCAATAAGGTTTTGTAAAAGTTTAGAAAATACTTTCAATACAAAGGAAAATTTGGGAAGCCCAGGAAGATCTATTTTTACCCTTCCTTCTAATCTACAGACTCCTACTCTCTAGGTTTTGGCAACTCAGTAAAGTTCTGTTGTGTTTTTAGCAAGGGAAATCCTGATTCCTGGAAATTCCTGGAGTATTTCTATTCTGGGTCACCAGAACAAACTTTTTTTTTTAGATTTGAAAATATTTAATTGACAAAAATTGTATATATTCAAGGTATACAACATGATGATTTGATATATTATGTCGTGCTCTCCAGCCTAGGGGATAAGAGGGAGACTTCATCTCAAAAAAAAAAAAAAAAAAGCATCTAAGGAAAGTATGGACCCATCGTTGAAGTTGAGTGCTTGCCCTGTTGTTTCAGGAAGCCAGAGGGCCATTTTTAAGCAGGCCATGAGACACTGGGAGAAGCACACATGTGTGACCTTCATAGAAAGGACCGACGAGGAAAGCTTTATTGTATTCAGTTACAGAACCTGTGGGTAAGTAAGCAAAAGTGAGCCCACCTCTGTAGAATCAGTCAGATGGCTGATGAGTCTTGAATTTTCTCTGCAAACTGAAGTATTTCCAATGAGCTATTATTTAGAGGAGTCCAGGGTTTGCTAGAAACTTTTTGCCCTTGGTGAAATTACAACCCAGTGGCAAAGCAGGTGGGTTAAGAGGAAGATTCCAGGAAACTCCAAGAAGGCCAGGGGTCCTACCACTAGGAGAGCAACAGGAGGAACTGGTGGTGTGTCACGTGAAGACTTAAGGCAGTGGCTCTTAACCTCTTAAGGTTGCTGTACCCATTTAGAATCTGATGAAGCAGTGGGCTTTCCTTCTTCAAGAATAGATGTATATGTAGGCAAAATTTTGCATTTAATTTGAGGGACTCTACAGGTTTACAGACTTCCTGCAGAAAACATAATGTATAATGAAATGACTGGCTTATGACTAAGTTATCTGTTATGTCAATAAATATGTGTGATAGACTTTCCTACTGAAAGAAGAAGGTTTTCATGTTGGATCAAAAACCCAAACCTGCCCAGGCACGGTGGCTCACGCCTGTAATCCCAGCACTTTGGGAAGCCAAGGCGGGCGGATCACCTGAGGTCAGGAGTTGGAGACCAGCCTCCAGCCTGACCAACATAGTGAAACCTGGTCTCTACTAAAAATACAAAATTAGCCAGGCGTGGCGGTGCATGCCTGTAATCCCAGCTACTCAGGAGGCTGAGGCAGGAGAATTGCTTGAACCCAGGAGGTGGAGGTTACAGTGAGCCGAGATCACACCATTGCACTCCAGCCTGGGCAACAAGAGCAAAACTCCATCTGAAAAAAAAATAAAAGACATCTATATGTTCTATACATAAGATAATTACTGAAGAAAACAACCTAGGGAGGTTTAAAAGTAAAAGGAAAGAAGCCATACAGGTAAATGCTAACAGAAAGAAAGCTGGGATCACAATTTTAGTCCTAGACTAGGATTTCATTGTTTTGTTGTTTTTGTTTTTAAAGTCAGAAAATATTAAACAAAACAAAAGCTGAGATGCTTTATAATGAGAAAGGATACAAGTGTTGGTGAGACTGTAACTGTCATAAATCTTCATGCACCAAATAGCATAGCATTAAGAGTCATAAAACAAGCCCCAGGGAATTCAGGGGGAAATTGATAGAAACACCCAGCAGCAGGAGACTCAATTCATTTTTGTCAGCCCAAGTAAATCAGCGTCATGTTGACCAAAAAATAAATAGAGATTCACAGAGGATTTGAAAAATATAGTTAATAGAGCTGATTCTGTAGGTCTAGCAGATTCCATAACCTCATGCCACACTTTTTTTTAGTTGCTCACTGAAGGATTATAAACCTTGACCATCTATTAAGCATTAAGAACATGTTAAAAGGCAGAAATAGCACTTAGATATTTTCTAATTGTGAAGCAGTGAAACTGAACATAACATGATAACAAAAATAGAATAAACATTATCTGATAAAAGTTCTCCCATGCTTCCTTTTATGGCTCTTAGATCATAAAAACAGCAAGATTAAAGTTGCAGAATGTCTAGATAATGAAAGCCCTATGGTTCAAAATAAAAGAGATATAGCTAAAGCTGTGTGCAGATGAAAACCTACAGCCTTAAATATCCACATCACCAGTTGACAACGGTGACAATGAAATATTTAATTCAAAAAGGCTAGCAAAAATAGATGCTTAAACCCCACCACCATCACCACAAGAAAATAAACCTAAGGAGAGCACAAGGAAACAGACAAGGTGAAACATTATAGGGCTAACAAATTCTAGAGTCAATTATTTGAATAAACAGACAAAATATTAGATATACCACTTGTTGGTTTAACTGAGACAAAATGTGATCACACAGAAATACATAAAAGTAGAAATGAAAATGAGAGAAATAGCCACAGATTCAGCAGAATCATTAAGGAGTAGTTTGCAAAACTCTAGGGCAAAAAGTGTGAAAATGTGGATAAAGCGAAAGTCTTCAAGGTAAATATAAAGTACTGGTACAGATCAAGAACTCTGGATGAAGTTGAAGAACGGAGGGAAACAGCCATCTCCCCCAAAGCACTGGACCCAGAGTTTCACAGTTGAATTGTTTCAAAACTTCAAAAACAAATTATTCTGGTATACTTAAACTTTTTAGAGCGTAGAGGAAGATGAACACTTCCAAATTACTTTTGAGTAGCTGTTATGGCATTGCTATCTTGAAATGAAAAGGATCGCATCAAATAAATAGAGACAGAAAGAAAGGAAAACATGATAAAAAAATAAGAAAGAAAAAATTATAGACTAATCTCACATGTGAATAGCTATGCAAAATCCTAAATAAAATGTTAGCACATAGAATTCAGCAGCAAAAGAAAAGAAGAGTAGGCTGCCAAATATATTTATCTAGGGAATACAAGATTAGTTCAACATTAGTAAATCTCTTCCCATAATTGGTTGGTGAAAGGAGAGAAGCTGTGTTCATATCTCAATAAATGCTAAAAGGCACCTGTACAATACAACATGCAATTTTTGTTTTTAAAAAGTAACCAAGGTAGCACAGAAATAGATGTCAAGGATAGATTCTTGCATTACATATATATGTATATATATGAAATAAGCATAAATATACATTTATATAAATAACTTACAACCAAAAGCCAACATCATGTTTATCGATTAAGCATTTAATTTTAGTTAAAATCAGGAACAAATTTAAGATGTTTAGGGTTACCACAGTTATTTAGCATTGTTTTGGAAATACTAATTAATATAAATTAGATGAGAGAAAGAAAAAAACACTGTGAGTATTGGCAGGAACAAGGCAATATTAGCACTGATGGGAGGTAATGTGATTGTGTGCCTAGAAAACCCAGAATATCAATTGAAAAACTGGTAGAAACACAAGGAGACTCTATTCAGTGACTGACCACAAATTAATTAATTAACAAAAATAGGTGACTGCTTTTCTTTATACATGAAATAGTTTGATACACTTTTATGATGAGAAAAAATCACAATGTTAATAGGAACATAATAGATACTATATTTAAGATTAAATGTAAATGTGCCAGACTATAGGAAGAAAATGTTAAAACTCCCAGGAACCAACAGTAAAAATAGAAAGCATATTGCTTCCTGGTATAGGAATACTCAACATAGTAAAGATGTCAGAACTCCCTAAAATAAGCTGCAAATTCATGCCTTTCTGATTTAAACACCAATATTTATAGATATGTACGTACATGTGTATGTATGCGTAAATATTTTTAGAACTTGAACAAATGATACTAGAGTTTATCTGGAGGAGCAACCATGTAGAAATAACTAGAGAGAGAGAGAACTGTAATGACAGAGGTAGATATCTAATGATCTAACGGAACATTTAAAATATTAAAATGCAAAAGGAAGATAATAGCAAAACAGTTTGGAACTTAAGGGAAAAATAGATATATGGAAAAAAGGGTCCAAAACGAATATACCTATACACAAATTTGGGTCAAATTTTAAATGAATGGGAGAAAGATCTATTAGTCAATTGGGATATTCCAACATTGGGATAATTTAGATAGCTCTCTGTGGAAAAAAAAAAAAAAAGCTGAACTCCTACCTCACTTCTTACACCAAAAACTATTCTAGCTAGATCGAAGATGTAAGTATTAAAAAAAGGAAATGAAAGAAAAGTCCAAAAGAGTATAAGAAGGAAACAAGAGTAGATTGTATTTATAATCTTGAAATATGGGTGACCTTTCTAAGCAGCACATAAGAAAATGAGGACATTTTATAATACTAACATTAAAAACTTTTATATGGCAAAAAGAAAACAATATATAAACAAAAACAAAGTCAAATGAGAATTAACAAAGTGAGCAAAATACTTGCAACACTCTTGACTACAAGTTTCCCTAATTTACAAAGGGTTCTTAAACATTGATCATAAAAAAATGGACAACCCAAAAGAAAACAGGGGTAAGAGGTGATCACATAGTTCACAGGAAAAACAAACAAATGTCATACAAAATATGTGAAAAACTATCCAGCCTCAATGCAGTGAAATACCATTTTTTACCTATCCAATTGGCAAAAATAGTTTGATAAAACCAGTGTTGGCCGGAATGTGGGGAAATAGGACTTAAACTTTTTTTTAAGCTTTTGTGGGTACATAATAGGTGTATATATTTGTGGGGTACCCGAGATGTTTTGACACAGGCATGCAATATGAAATAATCACTTCATGGAGAATGTGGTATCCATCCCCTCAAGCATTTATCCTTTGTGTTACAAACAATCCAATTACACTCTTTTAGTTATTTTTAAGTGTACAATTAAGTTATTATTGACTATAGTCACCCTGTTTCGTGATCAAATAGTATATCTTATTTATGGTTTCATTTTTTTGTACTCATTTTTTTTAACCATCTCCACCTTCCCCACCAGTCCCCTACTACCCTTCCAGCCTGTAGTAACCATCCTTCTAGTCTCTACCTGCATGAGTTCAGTTGCTTTAATTTTCATCTCCCACAAATGAGTGAGAACATCTGACGTTTGTCTTTCTGTGCCTGGCTTATTTCACTTAACATAATGGTCTCCAGTTCCATTCCTATGGTTGCAAATGACAGATCTCATTCTTTTTATGGCTGAATAGTACTTCATTGTGTGTAGGCACCACATTTTCTTTGTCCATTCATCTGCTGATGGACACTTAGGTTGCTTCCAAATCTTAGCTGTGAACAGTGCTGCAACAAATGAGAGAGTGCGGATATCTCTTCGATAGACTGATTTCTTTTCTTTTAGGTAAACAGAAAGGGCCTTTTAATATATAATTAGTGAATATACAAACAGACAACATTTTGGGAGTACAATTTGACAGTATTTATCAAAATCTCAAATGCACATATACTCTTATCCATTCATCCCATTGGTAGAAATTTACCCTGCCACTTCTTTGTTTCATTTGTTGTTGTTTTTGTTTGTTTGTTTTGCTGGTCACCCTCTCCCCTGAGGCCTTGTTAAAATAGCAAAAACTGGAGTTAGAGCCTAGATGTACATTAAGACTGATGAAATAAATTTTAGTATTACAAAAATATATATAAATATTATTTGAAAAAAATGACTGGGCCCGGAAAGGAGTTATCTCTAAGCCTCCTCTGACGATGACACCAAGTTGCATACACGATAGACACTCATCTGCCTCCGTCCCCTGTCTCTTCTCCTTTTCATTAAAAATGGCCCAGCAAGGACTCTAGCACCTTGTGGATAGAGGGGTTGGTTATGGTATGCACTTTATTTCAGGAAGAGAGGCCATATATTTCTTCAGGTTTTCAGGAAGACCCATAACCACAAAAATGTCAAGAACCATTTTTGGAGGGAATTTCTGCATAGAGTCATTGGGAGGAATTCAGACAATGAGAGCACTTTCACCTCTGAAATTCTGTTTCTTTTTTTTCTCTTTGGAGATGGAGTTTTTGCCCTTGTTGCCCAGGTTGGAGGGCAGTGATACGATCTTGGCTCACTGCAACCTCTGCTTCCCGGGTTCAAGCAATTCTTCTGCCTCAACCTCCCAAGTAGCTGGGATTACTTACAGGCATACACCACACACACCTGGCCAATTTTTTTGTATTTTCAGTAAAAACAGGGTTTCACCACATTGGCCAGGCTGGTCTCGAACTCCTGCCCTCAGGTGATCTGCCTGACTCAGCCTCCCAAAGTTCTGGAATTACAGGTGTAAACCACCACACCTGGCCTGAAATTGTTTCTTTTACATGCACACATGCACACACACACACACACACACACACACACACACACAGACTGGGAGGGGGACTTGCCTCTTGCTCTTGATGTCTTCTGACCTGCTGACCTGGGTATTCCCACAATTGTCCAGCTGTTGTTCCTATGTTGGGCGCCGAGGAGGAGGCCCACAGGCCATATCCATTGGGAAGAACTGTGACAAGTTTGGCATTGTGGCTCACGAGCTAGGCCATGTGGTTGGGTTCTGGCATGAACACACCCGGCCAGACAGAGACCAACATGTCACCATCATCAGGGAAAACATCCAGCCAGGTAAGGAGGCCTGTGTGGAGTTGAGAAGGTGGCATCCTCAGGGCCAGGAGGGAGGAGGGAAGGAGAGGGCTGGCCAGGAGCTGAGCTATGCTAATGCTAAATATGGAGCAATGACCCTGTTGTGCAGGCCCTTGTCACCAGTATGACCACTGTCCATCTGTGGCTTCCTGGGAGGTCACCTGCCATAGCTTGCAGGTTGGAGCAGAAGCAAAATGCTTTTCCATATTTTAAAGGACAATGAAATCTAACTCCATTTCCTGAAAGGAACACAGTTGACCAGAACACTATTGCGGCATCAGAGCTGATAAGCCAAAAAAAAGAGTTCTCCTGGCTGCTTTTATGAGTCATTTTTACTGACTTAGGCAACATATTTTTTGAAACTGAAATACACTTAGGACATGAACACACGTAAAAACAGTGTTTCTGCCTAGAAACATTCTGCCCCAAGGCAGATAAACTGTCTAGATTTTTAAAAAATACTTCCTTATATCAAATAATTTTATATAGAAGTTCATATTGAACATGAAAGTAGCTAGTTGAAGAATATGATTGCTTTACAAATGCTTTAGAGAATCTGAATTGTGAGCTATTTAGGATTGAACTTAACTCTGATTCATTTTTTTGTTTATTTCTTCAAATTTCCAGATTAGAGTTCATTATTTTTATTTTTTTGTGGGGGGCAAGCAAATTGATAACTAATCTGTCTGCAAACTTAAAGTGTTTTGAGTGGCATTTGGGGATGGGTCTTGGGTGGTGGGATTGGGAGAACACAGGGCTTGCTGGAAGTTTCAAACTTCCAATTATTAAAAACAACAAGAACCACTACAAACCCTGTTATTTGACTGACTGGGCCAATAGAGCCCTGGGAAGTTGCTATGGGCCCTCCTTCTCCTTCCTCTGCCTCCTTTCAGGTGCCCGACTTGGTTTTCAAAGGCCTTAACAGAGTGTTGTGTCACAGGTCAGGAGTATAATTTCTTAAAAATGGAAGCTGGGGAAGTGAGCTCTCTGGGAGAGACATACGACTTTGACAGCATCATGCACTACGCCCGGAACACCTTCTCAAGGTCGGAATCTATACTTATGCCTCGTCTGTGTTTTACTGTGCCTGTGCAGGCTTGGGTCGGATTCCTGGAGGTCTGTGGAGAGTGGGTCTCTGCATGCTCCTAGCACGGCTGGCCTGTCTGTCCTTGAAATACAGTGGCCTCTGGGCTGCAGTGAAATATAATCTAATCAGGTTCCCGTTAATAAGATTGAATCCCATTGTGAAGCTGGCATTCCATCATGCCCTAATGTCACAAGCAGCAAACTGGAAAAGGGAAATTATCGAGAGGTTGGCTGGGATAATAACTTAGAGGCTCTGTGTAAAATTTCCAGTGGGTCGGGGGAGTCTTTTGTAGAAGCAGGGTGGCACTCAGCAGTTCTCCTAGCAGAGGTTTGGTTTATTGAAAACTAGGCGGTGTCGGGGCTGGGAGGGCTGCAAATCATCGATTCATTTTAGAGGTGAAGACAATGAGGCTCCAGCCAGCTCTCAGACGCACAGGTAGCTGAGGACTGGAATGAGAGCAAAAACCCAGGTTCCTACCTGCATGTCACAGAGGATGGAAGCTGCGTATTCAAGTAGGGCTGGGTGTTTTATTTATGGCTGGCATGGGCAGGGTCTGTTCTGATGAGCTGTTCTGATGTGCTTGCCCAGCAGACATTAGAGCTTTTCAGTATTGTCCCTGCTTCTAGACCGTGGAAGTGCTTTCTGTGTAGAAGTTTTTCCTTACTTGTCCCAGTTTTATAGGTCTTTCTACCCTTAGTTAAAGGAGACACACAGAACAAGTATTTTCTCTCTTGGTACTTTCTCCTCAATCTCCTGTTAAAACCAGATGTTTGCTTGCTTGTTTATTTCATCATTCCCCCAAAAGGATCTGTGGTGACTTCCAATATACACATGGGATAGCAAAGATAAATAATAGGTGAGAAAACTGGGGGAAAGGAGGAGGGAAAAATAAGGCTAGAAGGCTAAGTTGAGGCCCAGAATAAGTTTAGTGCTCAGAGTATATGCTATGAGGGTAGGTACACTTGGTTGGGGTTGGCAGCAAATCCTACCCTGTGCTTCCTAGTAGTCACAGCAAAGAGGGAAATAATCCATTCCATGAGTCTCCATGTCCATAAAGAAGAAAGGAAACCATTTGCTCAGAAAATATATGGCTCTTGGGCGTGAAAGGGAAACTGTTTGCCAATAGCTCCTTGGTTCTTGAGTGAGGCTGCTGAAAGCATCCTGTCGATGAATTTGTTATAGGATTGTGGGAGAAATCCTCTAACTCTTAGCATGCCGAGTTCTCAGGGGGCACTGTTCCTGTGGCCACACAGCTGCTTTAGTCATGATCTCTATCCTGCACCCAGATGTGAGCTCTGATGGGTGGAGTTATGTTGAAGCTGACATCTTCGACAGCACTTAGGAGTGGCGTGAAATTAAGCCTTCCTGCCCTCTTTGCCCATCTTCTGGCTCCTTTCCAAAGATACTAGAAGAAACATGGTGTGATGAAGAGACAACCGAACTCAGAACCAGAAGCCAGTTCTAGTCCTAGTCCTAGCTCTCCTGTGACTCTTGCCTTTGAGGGAGGCAGACAGTAATTAGGGGCAGCTGTGTGATGGTTAAATCTCCACCTCCACGGGCCTTCGTTTCCTTGTGAGAGGGTTGGACTAGATGTTCTCTGAGCCCCTTCCAGCTCCAACCTTTCATGTGGCAATTTCTCAATCTCAGATGCAGATGGGTAAGGGATTGACAGATACGATCTCATTCACTGCCATACAGGAAATCGGAAGCTGGAAGGGCCTCCTCTTCCCGATTAGGAAACGGAGACATTGAAGGATCCACCCTGAGGCTGTGTGCAGGGAATCTCAGGAAGCCAGTGCAGTGTGCAAACTATCCAGGGGGTGTGATGCTTGGGTCTTGGGGCGGGCTGATTCACCTGTTTGGGAAATGGTGCAGGGAATACCCAGGGGCCCACACCATCATCCAGGAGTTACAGGCTGCTACTAGACACCAAGCGTCAATTTTGTCAGAGAATCTATGTCAAGTTGGCTCAAGGGAGAAGCTTATGCCTTGGGTCTTATTTCTGTAGCTGCCATAACTCTTCATATTGCTTTTTAACTTATCTCTTAATAATTATTAATTTGTCTATTCATATTTGTCTGTTGCATTCCCTTCTCTGGCAGTAGACTGAGATCCTTGAGAAAAGAGACTATCTCATTCTCTTCTAGTCCCCAGCACCCAACGTGGTGTCTGGCACCTAGTAGGCATTCAATAGATATTTGCTAAATGGATAAATTAATGAATGAGTTCAAAGGGGTCAAGGTACCTGCAATGTTGGGGAATAGGTGAGGGTAGAAATGTCCATTATGCTCATTCTTTCCATGTGCTTACCAATGCAACGGTCACTTTATTAAGGAGAATCTGTAAGTCTATACCATGTAGGGCATTTGTGGGTTGTAGGAGCTGCACTGCCTTCTCCTGCCTGCTCTGTGCCAGGCATTGCACAAGCTCCAGAGCCAGAGGCCAGGACAGGATGCAGGCAGAGGATCTTCCAGCACCAGCACTTCTTTGCTTGTCTTTCTTTTTAAAATATATATATATTTCTATTTTTTTTTTTTTTTTTTTTGAGACGGAGTTTTGCTCTTATTACCCAGGCTGGAGTGCAATGGCGCGATCTCGGCTCACCGCAACCTCCGCCTCCGGGGTTCAGGCAATTCTCCTGCCTCAGCCTCCTGAGTAGCTGGGATTACAGGCACGCACCACCATGCCCAGCTAATTTTTTGTAGTTTTAGTAGAGACGGGGTTTCACCATGTTGACCAGGATGGTCTCGATCTCTTGACCTCGTGATCCACCCGCCTCGGCCTCCCAAAGTGCTGGGATTACAGGCTTGAGCCACCGCGCCCGGCTAAAATATATATATATTTCTAAGATCACTAACTCATAATGCCATGCCTTCTGTCCCACAGAAATGGATAACCATTTCTAACGCTATTGTCAGTGTGAACCATCAGCACAGACAGGTAGAAATCCATGGGCCAAACCCATGAAATAAAAATTTCTCATCAAAAGACCCAGAAGCTCTGGGAGGGAGATCAGCAAGAGCAGCACGTGGAGGATGGGTGGCTGGCAGCAGAGCAGCTCCCCAAGGGCAGGCAGCCCCTCCTGCTACTGTCTGCAGAGTAGTTGACCCCAAGCTTAGTGACTTAAAACAGCAGCTTATTACTTTTCATGATTCTGTGGGTTAGCCAGGCTTCTTCTTCTCTGGTCTTTCCTGGGATCACCCACAACAACAGTCATCTGACAGCTCAGCTGGGCTGGGGAGTCCAGGATGACCCGTCACACGCCTGGCACATGGTGCTGCCTGTTCATGCCCCTCAGTTCTCTCCAGGAGTCCCTTGGTCCTTCATGTGGCTTCTCATCCTCCAGTAGGCTAGACCAGGCTTTTCATTGCATGGGGACTCAGAGTTCCAAGAGGGCAAGCGGGGAAACCACAAGCCTCTTAAGGCCCCAGCTCTGGAACTTGCATGACATCACTTCTGCCACATTTTATTGGTCAAAGCAAGTCACAAGGCCAGCCCCAGACTCAAGTGAGTGAAGGAATAGACTCTGCCTCTTACGAGGAGGTATTTTAGCTTCAGGTTGCAGTAGGATATGGCCATTAGAAGGAGTGACTTTTTATTTTGACAATCTGCCACTTCTCTCCTCTGCCCCAGAGTTCAGAATGGTTTCAGCAAATCTGTTTTGTTGCAGATGGATAACTGCATTGTCCTTTCTGCCAACTTTTTGCACGGATTTTCAGAAAACAATTTTGTTCAGTGGGTTTTTACTGGGGGCTTTTCTGTTGGCATTTTGTCAATAGTTTACCCACTCCCAACACCATGTCTTTACTCCTGGTCACAAAGACCCTGCAGCTGGCCAGTACCTCATCTTGGATTCTGCAAATGAGCAGAATAGAGCCTGTAGAACATATGCTTATTTTGGGGAAGCGGGCAAATGCTGTGCCCTGCTGATGGGAAACTCAATCTTTGTGTCTCTTTACGATTGAGCTGTCTCCTTCCAACTTTATTCCCTCTAGTTTATTGCAGTTCTTCTCCCCTCCCCCTTGGTTGGACCCAGGCTGTGGGGAGCGGTCTCTTTGGAGGTTTTGCTGGGCAAAGGTCCAGGAGATGAGGAGACAGTTCTCTTGTACAGGGGCCTCTTTGTTTCAGAACTCAAAGCTGACAGTTTTATTCCCTGAGGCATCTGCTGAACTCTGTCTTAGTTTAGCAGAATGTCAATGCTAAGAGTTGTCCTACATGAAAGAGGGGAGGAACGTCACCACTGTGGTTTACACAGGGGATGGCTCTTGTAGTAAACATCTTCCAGAGCTGGCAGCTCTTGCTGGCAAGGGAGGACGTCCAGCAGCAAAGAGCAGTCTGAGTGTGAGCCAGTGTTGTCCCTGATGTTTTGGTTTTTGAAGTCGGCAATGTTCTTAGCTCTATAATTAAATGCATCGTAAGGCCTACTGTTCATTGGGCAGCAGGAAACACTGGCTGGAAGGAGGAGGATTCCAGAGGTGAGCTCCCGGCCTGCCTCTTCATGCCTAGCTCTGTGCCCCGGGAAAGTCACCAGCTCTGCAGGCTCAGTCTTCTCCCTTGTAGAGTGAGAGCTCTCGTGATCGTGGCACCTGACTGCTAGGGTGTTATGAAGACGAAATGAGATGGTGCAGGGAGAGTGCCCAGTGCAGGGCGTGGCACATCAGAAAGTCCTATGAACGATGAGTGAGTGCAAGAACGTGGCTTCTATACAGCAGGTCCACTGGTGAAGTCGTCTACACGATGCGGCCAGGCAGCGTGGGGTACTTAGAGACTGTAGTGACCCTTGTGCTTGCGCTGCAGAATTCCTGTCTGCAAGGGAACTAAGAAAATAATCACAAAACGACATCTTTCATTAGGGCAGCAGTGCCTGTTTTTGGAGTAGCTGATGATTGAATTTTGGATTTTCCACGGGGTTTTCACTTGTGGTTTAAAATGTGGTAAAATCAGTGAGGGAGGCCAAGGATTCCACTTAAGTTTCTCTATGGGAGTCCAGACCCAGAGATGAGGCAGGTCAGGGGTTACATGTTGGGTACAGAGATGCTGAAAAGGAAATCAGCAGATGATCTAGATTCCCACGTGCTAAGGTTGGAAATCTGATTTAGAAAAAAAAAAAGTCTATAGAGAAACAAAGATGACAAAGTGATGTAACCAGGAGAAACGAGAGGTAATAGGTATTTTCTAAGGTGGTGCAGAATTTAGGGAAACAGAAACAGTGCCTGAAAGAGACAGAGAGAGAGAGAGAGAGAGAGAGAGAGAGCGAGGGGTGCACAGCTAATAGCTAGGTGACACATGTACATCTTTGCATTCTGCTTTGGATGTAAATCACTATTTTGCAAAGTTTTTTGAAGACAGTGCCTTATCCTGGTTGCATAATTTAATTCAAGATACATTTTTCGAGGCCTGCTATGCTGTAGCTTCTAACGACAGAGATAAAACACCCAGTCTCTCTGCTTGAGGAACTTACTTTTAGCAAAGAAGACAAATACCACCACTCTTTAAATAAGACAATACAGTATGATAAGAAGAGGCTACACAAATGACTGAGACCCAGAGCAGGAGATGATAAACTCCAGATGGGAAGAATAGAAAAGGGCTGGGGAAGACCTTTAATAGAGAAAGACATCCGATGGGGTTTTGGAGAATGAATAGGAGTTTGTGAGTAGACCAAAAAATACAGGGCATGGGCAGCCTAGGGAGAAGATGGCATGTATGAGGGCATATTTGGGGCCTACAAGGAGCTTAGTGTTGCTTAAAATAATGAGTCAGACTGCAGAGGAAGGTGGAAGTCAGTGAGCAAACAATCTAGAGATCCAAGTGGTGACTAGAAGTTGGTGAAGGGCTCTAAGCAAAGGAGGCACATGCCTCCCCTTGCATTTTTGGGATGGTTCCATTGCAGCATTGTGGCCAAGGAGAGCAGAAGAGTAGAAGTGGCTGTGTCTACATGGAGGGAAGCCGGTTAAGAAGCTACTGGAAAGAGTTCAGGAAGAGGCTGCTGATCACTTGAGCTATGGCAATGGTCTGGGAACAAGGAGCAGGGAGTGGGTTCAACGGGTGCAAAGAAGGTGTAGTGGACAAGACCTGACTCCTGGTTTGGTAGGAGAATGTGAGGGAGAGGGAGGAGCTGAGAATGACTTCAGATTTGGGCTCAGGAGACACAAGGATCAAGGAGTGAGCAGGAGAAGGATGGAACTGTGATCAATTTGGCATATATATATACTTGCACTTTAGGTTCTGGGGTACATGTGCAGATCCTGCAGGATTGTTGCATAGGTACCTACATGGCAATGTGGTTTGCTGCCTCCATCCCCCCATCACCTATATCTGGCATTTATCCCCATGTTATGCCTCCCCAACCTCCCTATCCCCTGCTGTCCCTCCCCTATTCCCCCGCAACAGACCCCAGTGTGTGATGCTCCGCTCCCTGTGTCTATGTGTTCTCATTGTTCAACACCCACCTATGAGTGAGAACATGCGGTGTTTGATTTTCTGTTCTTGTGTCAGTTTACCGAGAACGATGGTTTCCAAATTCATCCATGTCCCTACAAAGGACACAAACACATCATTTTTTATGGCTGCATAGTATTCTGTGGTGTATATGTGCCACATTTTCCTTGTCTGGTCTGATCAATTTGGTTTTGAGCATGTTGGATATAGGAAGCCCATAGGACATCCCAGGGGAGGTGTTACCAGGGGACTCAGCAGAGGATCCTGGGCTGGAAACAGAGGAGTAGCTGTGAGCTTGCAGGTGATGGTTAAAAGCTATAGGAGCAGATGGAACATGGAGAGAGAGGAGGGAGGGAGAGGGCAGAAACCCAAGGGGCATCATCGAAGGGGGAAGCAGAAGTGATTCTTGTCACAATGCTCAGAGAGAGAGCCATGGCCTGGACCCAGAGAGAAGATAGTGAGGAGGGAGGGGGGCATCGCAGGTCCCAGTGCTGGAGAGAGGGCAGACAGAGACTGGAAGGTGTACATTGGCAGATGAGTGGTGACCATTGCTGTTGGGGTCATATCACTGTTGGATTGAGGAGTGAATGAAAGGCGAGCAGTCGGGGAATGGAGACGATACTTTCTAGAAACTTAGTTAAGAAGGGAAGGAAAAAAACAAGATGGTGACTGGAGGAGGCACTGATTCAAGATGAGGCCTAACATCCAGGAGAGGCCCCAGATAGAGGGGCTGGAAGCAGAGGAGGCTCAGAGCTGGCCACAGACAAGGCAGCAGGCAGGGTATAAACCATGCCCACAGCAGGGCCAGCGCTCAGCTGGCATCCTGGTTTCCACTTGTCTAGTTTAGAAATGAAGCTGTCATTTTAGATTTTAATCAAGTAAGAGTAGAATAAGATGTTAGAGATAGAAGATGCTGCCATGACCATCTCAGCAAATTTCTTGTCGTTTAGTCGGATAAATTGAGGCTTAGAGAGGCTCAGAGAGGGGAAGGGTCTTGTCCAAGCACAAACAGGCCTAGTATAGAAATCTCTAGTCCAAGGCTCTTTTGACTACTTCTTGTTCTCTGAATTTATCTCGTTTTCCATCTGATTTCCCCTCTTACCAGCGGGGCCTCCAAACTCAGACCACCAATTCATCAACCTGCACTTGCTGACCAGCCCCTGAGAGTCTCACATTGTACCAATTCCTAAGCTCTCCCTAGGGTAGCTCCACGACTTAGCTACGCATAGTACTTCCCAATGCACAACTGCAGGGGGCACCACTCACACCATGATCTCTCTGAATGGAGCTCCCTGCAGATGTTTAGCATGGTGGCCCTGGGGCCTGGACCTGCTGGGGCTTCATGGAAATGCTCAGTACACATCCCTAAGGAAGCCCCTGGGCTACTGCACTAGGGCATATATTTACATTTGGCAGAATCCTTTTCCCACTGGAAAGTGAGTAGGCAGCTGATGAGACAGAATGTGAAAATGCCAGCACAAGTGAAGGAAACCGCTTCAGTCATGCCAGCCCAGGAGAGGCGGGCCAAGGGGCAGGAATGTTGATGGGGTTATGGGCAAGGGAATGAAGACTGGAAATCCCAGTACGGACAGCCTGATGGCCTTAACTTTTCTTTCTCTCTCTTTTTTTTTCTCTTCCTGTAGAGGCGTTTTCTTAGACACCATCCTCCCCCGTCGAGATGACAATGGCGTCAGGCCAACCATTGGCCAGCGCGTGCGGCTCAGTCAGGGAGACATAGCTCAAGCCCGGAAGCTGTACAAATGCCCAGGTAACTATGAGCCATGGGGACTGCCAGCACCTCCCTAGCATCTCCAAAGCATGGCCCCTGTGCTGGGAAAACAATTTGGGGACTGAAAGAAACTATTCCTTGGCAGCTTTAATTTCTGGTGTCCTTCTTGTAGGAGGTGCTAGGCAGTATAGAAAGGTGAAACAGTGACACGGTGGCAGGCACCAAAGAGAATAACAGGTCTTAGAGTCCACAGGTGATTTCGTGAGAGGCTTTAGACTTCTCTAGCAAAGACTTTGTGTCCAGAAGGGGAAGGAGGCATAGCAGAACAACAGTAAACAGGGGTGCACGGTAGTGTGCACCGCAGAACGGTAGCGGCACCTCTCCTTTGTATGGAACTAGGGGATGAGGAAAAACAAGAACCAAGCGGGACTTTGGAGGAAGATAAAGAGTGAGCGAAAATGCTTTGGGGAGGATGAGTTTCCCAAATGCTACAAGGTGGAGGGAGTCTCAGTGCTCTCAGCCAGGTTGTTGCTTTGGTCTTGGGGCTTTCCTAGCCATCCAAGGTGCTGGTCAGTGCCCAGGAGTCTGTCATTGAAGATGGGACAATCCACTGGGATTGGAGGAAATGTCTGTTCCTCGGCCCATTGGAAAGCGTTCCTTCCCCTTGAATTTGCCCTGTTTCTCTTCCATCCCCTTGGCTTCAGCAGCAGCATCATGCACACACTGAGCACTTCTAGGTCCCTTTCAGCTCTTGAGCTTCAATGTAAAGCATTGGTTATGGCAGGCAAGTTTTTACCACTGATGGGTCAGAATCCATTTCAGTGGTTTAGGAAGATAGAAGGAAGTTCCATTACACATACCCTTTCCCAAACCCCCAAACCAGACACAGAGTTTGATCATGGGATGAAATATTTGAAGTGAGGACCATCTTAGAAAATCTGGGCTGTCACATTACCTTACTAAGCAGAATCCCAGGGCATGCAAAGGGCTATGTAGGGCTTGCTTCCTTAAGAAACTCTAGAAAATGTGTTCATCCAGCTATTAGTCATCTGGGGGCATGTTAGGGCTGAAATATAAGACACACATATCATATAACCTTGCTGAATTGAACAGGAAACCTTATAGCATTCCCTGGGAAATGCCATCGTATTTATTCAGTTATAACGTTTATGCTGCTTATTTCCCAAAAGGATTCATGGCAAAATACCATGGAGCCATACAGTAATGTATCTGTTCTTGCAGATTGTTGATGATTATCCTAAAATAATTTCCATGTAGCCCTCGGGGGTGTTGACTGCCAGGCATAATCCTCATGATGCCTGGCAGTTGTTCGGTAACGTGATATTGAAGCCCTGATATCCAGGATTTCCTGAGGCTGATAATGGTGGTTCTCCACGTATTCCTTCCTGCAGGAATTTGGAGTTCCCAGTAGTTTTGAGTAGTAACTGAAAGCTCAGGCAGTCACCATGCAGAGGTTGACTTTCGTGTAAGGATAAGAAGCTTAAGGATGCTGGATCCCCGCATGTTAGGGTTGGCCACACAAGAGGAGGGGCTCTTGGCAAGCCAGCGTCCTTGCCTTTGGAATCTGACCCTCAGGCATTAGAGACATACAAAACCTGTAGTTTCCAGGGATTCATACAGGTACCCTTCTTTTGTGAGGACAAATTAGGGGAAATATTTTCCACATACATAAAGACTAGGTTCTAGACTCATAATCAGCCAACCCTCAAACATTCAAGGGCAGAACAGTCTGCTATAGAAGATTACAGCTCCCTATGCCTCTGCATTTTTTTGTTTTCTTGACTGCTGGATAGTTCTTTCAGAAATGAGTAGCGGAAAAAGAAGAGGAAAGAGGCAAATTAACAGCTGACATAAGTTTCAAAGCATTTTTTTTCTTTTTGTCTTATCCACTTGCACTTTCATGTTCTGTCTGCCACCAATATTACTATAAGCAATAATAATGGCTGTTATATATGAAGCAGTCACTATGTGCCAAGCGCTGAGTTAATTCATTTCATGTCATGCACACAATTTCACTAACCCTCTCAGGTAGGTCCTGCCCATTTTACAGATAGGAAAACTAAGGCCCAACAAGGGTAGGAAACTAGCTCAAGCCACACAGCTGGCCAGAGAGCTGAGATTCATGAGCTCTAGGCCATGCTCAGTCCTGAGAGCCTCAGAAGAAATTCCTGGGCATTCCTTTTTGGCTCCCAGATCCCACTGGTGCTTCTGTTAGCCAGAAAACATCAATCTGCTTGCTACGCTTCTCACCAACCTGTTGGAGGGCTTTGGCTGGTAAAGGGGTATGTTTGCTCCGCGGCCCCGTGCAGGAGCTGCTTGGGTGGGGAGTGGTGCATATGTCACATCACAGTTGTGATTTTGCTTGTGCAGCATGTGGGGAGACCCTGCAGGACACAACGGGAAATTTTTCTGCACCTGGTTTCCCAAAAGGGTATCCATCTTACTCCCACTGCGTCTGGAGGATCTCGGTCACCCCAGGGGAAAAGGTAGGTGGGAAGCCCCCTTAGCAAATGGATGGCACTCCTTGAGTTGGGTGAGGTGGGAGGAACTCTTATTGTTAATAGTAAAAATAACAGCTGTTTGGTTATGAGCACCCACCATGTGGCAGGCATGGTGCTGCTTGCTGTACATTCATTATTTCTGGACTTGTCAACCAGTCTTATCCATACAAATGAAGGCTGGCATGTACTAAATATCCACTGAGTTACAAATCAAGCTCACAGTTCCCCCCAACCTTAATAAATATACCATTATAATGTCCTGGAATTTAGAATTCCATGGCACCTCGGATTGCTGCTCTGGAAGATGGTGACATGGGGAGCCCACAGCTGGCTTTTCTTCCCCAAGTCTTCATTTCACTATTTGGGGCTTAAAGAACACCCCTGTTTATACCCCAGCCCACTTCCCCAAGCATCTTCCACTCCTCTTTTGCAAACAGCCACTTTTTGGCTGCCCCTCCCACGGGATGGGCTGACCAGGCGTGTAGTCTACACTCAAGAAGATGGATCCAGGGCAGAGGCCCTTGCATGCCTTGGCAGTGGGCTCAGAGCTGTGTGGACAGGGAATTCCTGGGTTCTTGGAATGTGGTGTAGGAGCTGGGCAAGCTCTGGGTGGACACATTCCTTTGGTCTTGCAGATTCCATGACCCTCTAGAGCTGAGCCCAGGGCAAGGATCTCTTTTACTCTGGTCCAAGGGTGCTATGTTTTCAACCCTACTGCAGGGTGCATACTCTTATATCCATTATATGGATGAGGAATTTGAGGCTTGAACATTAAGAAAAGTGCCAAAATTCAAGGTAAGATATAGAACTAGGAACTGGGAACTGAGGTTTTGCGTTCCAAAGCTTATCTTTTTGCTCCTGTCTCTACAAATCTGAGTGTTCTTCAAGTTGTCTCCGACTAAATGCAACTATCTTTGAGAAACCCTGTCTGTTCTCTAGGTCTAGGTTAGGGGATACCTCCAATGTCCCCAGGGCTGTCTACAATCATACCTGTCGTAGCATGTCTCACGGTATTATCACTACTGGTTTATTTGTCCCGCTTCTAAATCTTAAGCTCATTACGGTTGGAGATTTAGCACCCCACACAGTCTATGGCACAGACTGGTCACATGATGAGTATTTGTTGAATGGATGTGTGGTAGATGAGGGGCTGAGTGAAAAACCTGCAGCTAGGGGTGGCAGTGGGGTGTGCTGGAACTTTTCAGGCACCTGTAGCCAACCTTCAGGTATTTCTAATGTATAACTTTTTAAAAATGTTCATTAAAATGTCAAGTCAAGCATAGCGTGCCAACTAGAGACGAGTGGATAGGAACCATTGTGAGCATTTTCTAGGGAGTGGATACTATGCTTAGCATGTTATATGGATCATCTAATTTAGTCCTCACGTCAACTTCATGAAATAGGTGTTGTTACCATACTTATTTACAGGTAAGGAATTGGACTTGCCCAAGGCTTCTAAGTTTGTTGCAGAGCTGGGATTTGAACCCAGGCAACCGGACCCTGAGATCCTGAATGCTTAACCATCATCTTTTTTTTTTTTTTTTTTTTTTGAGAGACAGAGTTTCACTCTTGTCACCCAGGCTGGAGTGCAATGTTGCATTCTCAGCTCACTGCAACCTCTGCCTCCTGGTCCAAGTGATTTACCTGTTTCAGCCTCCCAAGTAGCTGGGATTACAGGCATGTGCCACTACGCCTGGCTAATTTTGTATTTTTAGTAGAGATGGAGTTTATCCATGTTGGTCAGGCTGATCTTGAACTCCTGACCTCAGGTGATCCACGTGCCTCAGCCTCCCAAAGTGCTGGGATTACAGGCGCGAGCCACTGCACCCAGCCAACCATCATCTTATATTATTACACATCAGGCTAGCAGATAGACATTTGAACATGCATTTATATACATACATGAATGCACACGTGTGCACACACGTATGCATCCTTCCTTTGGCTCTAAGCATTTAAGACATTAAGTATAGCTGCCATCTTGTATCTGAGAACTTAGACCTGTCTGCTGTGGGTGGATGTGAAATCCACGTGCCTGCTGGAGGCTCTAACAGGAGGGAGGTAGAAAGGGGGAAGAAAAAGAGGCCTGATAATTTCCAAATTATTGAATTGCCCTGCACAGCAGAGGCTCTGTGATATATTTGAACTGTGTAAACTTCTCCAAACCTTAATTATTAGTGCTAACTGGGGACAGAGAGAATATACATCATTGAAATTTCTGCACCAATTATTTCCATTTCGGCTTCACCCAGCCTTCCCCAGAGCTGCTAGTAATTAGCAAACTTGATTGATTCGAGTATCACCTCTTGTTCACCACCTCTTTCCCCTATGGTCTTTATGGTTCACTAACATACTTAAAATAATTAGTCTGAATAATTATCCCATTCATTCAGATCATGAATGTGTTACCAAGGAAGTTGTACTAACATTTCCTTTCTGTAATTTTAGGAAAGCAAAGACTAAAGAATTATTGTGCAACCAGCTTACAGGTGCTACTAAGCTCTACCACCTGAATATGAGCACAGTGTGGGATTTGACAGAAGTCTAAGGCACACCCCTGTCTTTGAGAGACAGTGTTTAGTTTGGGTTCCCCCACCCACTCCCATTAAATCTGATTTAATGAAAGGAAGGGTGTTTGCTTGATATGAGCTTTTTTTAAAGCTTCAAAGGTGATTCTAATGTGCAAGTAGGGTTGAAAAACACTAGTCTAGTTTGAAAGAGGAGTGACAGCATGCACATAGACACATGCATGCACACACATACACACACATGTGCACACCCATGTATGCACACACATGGGCACACACACATGCACGCGCGCGCGCGCACACACACACACACACTATGACAGAAGGTGAGCTGACCTGTTTTTTCCTGGTACTGACCCTTCATTTCCTAGGAGATCACAGGAAATGTGATCTTGTGGAAGAGGATGTGATTTGTCCTGAGACCTGAACATGGGGTGGGATGGGCCCAAGGGAAGGGATAAGCACTCAACACTAATCAAGATGGGCAGCCTGCGAGCAGTGGTTAGTGTTAGTTGTGGTACGCTAAGTGTACACTCAGTGTGGCCTACCTGGTGTTTTAAGTTGCCATTTATGAAGTGCCTATGATGTACCAGGCATAGCAATGTACACTCTGTACATGGTTTCTCACACAGTCCCCTCAACAGCCCAGTGATGTGCTATTGTGTTACAGATGAGGAAACTAGAAGGGAAGTGTTTCCCCAGGACTCCAGAGCTAGCAGATGATGCTGAGAAGCAAATGCAGATCTAGGCAGATCTAAAGACCCCTGCTCTAGAATCATTATAAGACAGAGGGTGGGGCGTTCCAAAGAGGCAAAGATCAGTTGTGTTCATGGGGGGGTCAGATGCAGGCTCAAGGAGGGGGACACTTGAGCAGGCCTGGGGAGGGCTTCCTTGACATGGAACTATCAGGGAACACTGGGAGATGGGTTGCACAGGACAGGCTCCAGAGGCATGGAAAGGAAGCAGAATTTAATTCATGAGATGGGGGCACAGGGAGACACTGACGTTTCCTGAGGGGTTTGGTCAACATGAGATATGAGTGGAAGATTGATCTAGAATCCCTAGTGTGTAGAACAAATGGGGGCACAGCAGGGAGGAGTCCAGGAATCCTGCGGGAGCAATCCAGGAGGGGGTAAGATAGGGGGAACGAGATGAGGTTGGAGGGGAGGGATGCAGATATCTTAAAAGAAAAAGAGCTGCAGCATGGAGGCTGAACAGATATGGGGATCAGCCGTCAGGGTGAAGGAAAGATAATTCCAAAGCTCGGCTCCTTGGCCATCAGGGCGATGGCATCTTCTACAGTGGAGGAGGCTGGAAAGGAAATGCTCTTTTGTTTGGAGGTGCCCTCACCTAGTGGGAGCTGGAAGGGCAGAGGAGCAACAACAGTGGGGAGAAGATAAGCCAGTGTGGTGAAAACCAGAAAGGACAAGCTCAGGGCAGAGGGGCCATGGGGCACAAGGACGAGTAGCAGTCCTTCAGATTTGGTGGGGAGGGAATGGGAACCTTTGAGGAAGCCCTCCAGCCCAAGGGTTTACTTAGAGCTAGAGGGCTCCTGGGGCTGTTAGAATATAAAGAAGTGGTTAGTGGAGAGGCAGCAAGTAGAGATGCTGGAGAGAGAGGAACTGCTGAGAGCAAGGTCCCCCGCGGTCGGAAAAGGAATCGAGTCGGGGTGCCAGGGCTGGGGCAGGGCTGGAGAGCAGGAATAGTGGAGATGTGATGGGGCAGAGGCGTGTGGGGCATGAGGAAAGGTGAGCCTGGCCCAGACAAGCCACGGCACCTCAGGACAGTGGGAGCCACAGGCACCTGGTTTAGTGGAACTTGCATGGGGGTGAAGAGGCAGCGGCCACCTGAACTCTGCTCTGGGCCATCTGCCAGAGGAGCCCCGAGCTGGCGGGCTGCAGGGGGACCAGAGCCAGTTCATGGGTACAGCACCTGTGTGCTGAGGCCCAGCCAGCCGGACCACCTAGCCCTTCACTTCCCCCTACTAAATAGCTGTTGGCCATCGGAGCATCCACTGCCTGACCTCCGGGATGTCCTGAGGGCTGCCAAGATGCTCCTCATGACCATAGTGTTCCCATTGGCTTTGCCTATCTGCCTTTCCCCACTTCTCTGACTCCCCAAAGGCAAAGACCCTGTCTTACTGATCTTTCTATCTCAACTGGCCAGCACAGACTGGCACTCAGAAGGTGATCAACAAACAATGGTGGAGTGAATGAAGGAATGAATGAATGAACTGTAGGAAGGTCATTAGACACACCTCAGGAGAGTGAGGTCATGGCTGAGGGGATGTTGATCATGGAGATGTTCAGATGCACTCAGGCTGACCCCAGACCCTTTGGAATGATTGATGATGTTTTAAGATCTTCTTGTATCCCTGAACTTCACTGACCCCTTACCTCCTTCCAAATCCCAGTCTCCATGTGCCCTGGCCAGTCTTTTTAATGCATCTCGCTTTCTGTAAACCACATAGTGACTTCAAAAGCTCAAGTGATTCCCCAGACAGAACCGAAGGACCCATCTCCTTCTGTTTACTCCCCATCCTGCTTAAGGTTTGTTATTTAATGTCCTAATGTTTCCTGTGAGCGTGCTTTTGAGACAACACTCCTACTGTGGTCTGAGAGTTCTGCATGCTAAAGGGTAACGTGAGAACACCGGTATGCAAGATCTGTCTTCCCAAACTCCTCAGGCTTTGCTGCCAAAACTCACTTTACGGTAATTCTTTACAGATCGTCTTAAACTTCACATACATGGATTTGTTTAAAAGCCGGCTGTGCTGGTACGATTACGTGGAGGTCCGGGATGGTTACTGGAGGAAAGCCCCCCTTTTGGGTAAGTTGACTTTAGACAACATTAAGAGAGGCGTGATTGGATGTTCCCTGGGATGCTGTTAATGTTTGTAAGGTCCACCTTGACAGCAGTCACAGGAAGCTCTCAAGGACCTCTGTCATTGTAAAACTCTGAGCACTCCATTTGGCCACACATGTTAAAAGCTTTTAAAACTGCAAATACCCTTTGACCTAGCAATTCCACTTTTTGGAATTTATCCTAGGGAGCTAATTAAGGAAGTGTGCAAAGCTCTAGCTGCAGGGATGTTCACTGAAGCAGGAAAAATTGCAAGCAATTTAAATGTTCAACAGTAGGGTTTGGCTGAACAAATTATGATCCATCTTTTCCATGGAAAACTCCCTGGCCATTAAAAATGAAGTTGGAGGTGACTACTGATACAGAAAGGTGTTCACGTACATGATTACACACAAAAAAGTATGTTACAAAAATAGAATAAGCGGTAGGATTCCATTTTAATTGAAAAATACATTTATGTATTAAATATATATAATGCAGGCATTGCAAATGTAGATGCCTTAAAGGATAACACAGAAATGAAGGAGCTGGGATTGGTGTAATAAACTAAAGAGTGGTAAGGGGAGTGTGGTGAACTGAACACCAAGTATCCTGTTCAAAATTATTCCAAATGAAATTACTTAAAGCCTGCGTACAGGCTGAATTCAACTAGAAGACACTACTTTGTGATCTGCAAAATAAATCTCAAGTAAAACTATAAATACACATAAATAACACGCTGGTTATTTCAGGATGATAGAGTGTTTTTAAAATGTATTCTGTTGTTCTTGGTTTAGCTATAGTTTCCAATTTTTCTATGATGAGCATGGATTGTTTTTGTGAGATGAATAGGGCACGAACTCACCCATGGAAAGTTAGCTTGGAGCTTTGAGTGAGACACAGTGGGCAGGTGGTATAACAAGAAAGATTAGTTCACCCCAGAGAGATCTCTCATGGATGACAGGGGAGGGTAGGCTTGTCTAGACGACCGATGGCTCCAGTGTCTTGGGAGTGGACACTGGGACTCATTCAGCCCAGGAATGGCAGCCGTGGTGAAGCTGGAGAGAGGCAGAAGTGACCAGGAGCCAGATGGGAGGGTCTCGGCTGAGAGTGGATTGTCCTCACTCTTAGAGGGGTCTGTAGGGTAGAGTCCAGCTTGGACAAGCCTAAGCGCTCAGTGAGAACTTTGTCCCTGGCACATATTCACATGAGCAGAAACAACTTGTTATGGTGCAACTGATGCACCTGAGAGTGAGCTGGTGTTGGGTGGTTGGCTGAGATGGAGATAGCAAAGAAGGGAGAGGGCTAAGCTGGGGGGTGTCATTCACTGCTAGACCGAGCTCTGACTTCACGCAGGATTCTGGGGAGCCAACGCTGGGGTAGATGAGAAGAGGCCTGGACAGAGGGGCTGGCTGGACTCAAGGTAGCCTGGCAAATGTTAATCTTTTGTGTGACTGAGGGGTTCCAGGCTGCCACCATTAGGAGGAGTCAGTCGGGTAGTCAGCTGTCCAGGCAGACAAGCCAAGGAAGTGATCCCCAGGCCAAGCATGGACAGAAGCATGTATACTGCAGGACCAGTGGGGTCTGCCCCCCAATGGCAAGGCAGAGCCTGCCTTCCTTGGATTTCTGTTCCCTGCCTACCATGAGCAGGCATGTTACTCTCTAGCAGCCAGAAGGAGTGTCTGGCTTTGCAGGTAGTACTGTTTGCATGTGGCAAAAGACAGAGGGCTGGATTCTCAGTAGCAAAGGTTTCCAAATCTGGCTGGACCTCAGAACCTCCTGGGAAGATTTCTATGAATACAGATTCCTGGGAGATCACTGAATTGGAATCCCCACAAGCTGGGTCAGAGAATGATCCTATTTACCTTTATATGAAAGGGCATGTGCCCAAATCTAGTACCACATCCGTGGAAAGGACCACAAGTATGCCCATCTAACTGCTGAGGGTGATTACCTCTGAGGAGGGAAGCGCGGAGGTGGTGGGCAGCTTCGGGTTTTGTTTTGTATACTTCTCCATTGTTTTGAACCTTTTATAAGAACACATTCAGGTATCATTCTATAACAAAATAATAAAAAGAGCTATGTGGGAGGAGTTTCATGAGAACATTGGATCACAGACCCCACAACCTGGCAGAGACCTTACAGTCACTTAATCCCACACTTTCATGAGAAAACCAAGCTCCCCAAGTGTAGACTAACTCTAAGGCCACTCAGCCAGCAAGTGGCTGAGATCGGACCAGAATTCTGATGTCCTGGTGAAGGGGAGTGGTGGCTGCTGAACCTCTCAGCAGGTGCCAGATAAAATACATGATTTGTTGTTAATCTGAAATTCAAATGTACTGGGCTTCCTTGAGTTTTGTTTGCTAATCTGGCAGCTCTACTCCTGCCTCCCAGGAATGGGATAGATTTAAAGGCTTAAGAGGAGGAAGCTCTGTTACTGAAGTCCCTCAGAGAGGGCCAAGGCACGTTCCTGAGAATGGGCATGGGCAGAGAGATTTCCAGGAGTTCCTTTTTCTTGAACTTGAAACAAGAATTTTCTCATTATAGATCCTGGTATCTCTGGCTACATTTCATTAATGAAATGGGACTTTTGCTGTTCATTGGTGGTAGTGATGGTTTTTTTTGTTGTTTTTTGTTTTGAGTTTTTTTTTTTTTGGCTCATATTTTACCCACTTTTATTTTGTGTGTGTGTGTGTGTGTGTGTGTGTGTTTGTGTGTGTGTGTGTGTGCAGAGTGCCAGCGCCTGTAACCGTCGTTCTTCATTTGTGGTTCTCTTTTGCCAACTATTTGGCCTGCTCTGATGTTTCCAAATGCAGTTGTTAGTGAACTTTTGTGTTTGGAACAAGTGCATTGTGTCGGCAGAGCTGGTCCCTGGGAGGGGTCAGTGCCACGAAATCTGCTGGGAGGAGGCAGGTCAATGCCCCTTTGGCAGGAGGGAGAGCGGATTAGGGCGGATTGTGAAAGTATGCATCTTGCTCTGAAAACTGTGCATCGCATTTTTTCCCAGGGCCGTGTGTGAAAATCCAGGCATAATGGACGCATAACTTTTTATGAATGAACCCTTTATGACTCCCCATGGAGCCCACTTGTAGTGTCCTCATCTGCATTTCCTCTTCTTGATATCCTCATTAAACTCCTCCTCTAAATCGAGGAACCGGATTTCAGTGCAGGAATCTGACACATTTTCTCTAGTCCAGTTTCTCTCCAGCCTGCTTAGTTTCCTTGGAAGGAGGCTATTTTTCAAGACCCAGGTTTTCACATAGTGATTAAAGGGAAAAGTTGATGGAGAATATTTCACGGCTGGTTAAAGATATCAAATTGGTTTAGCGGTTTTGGGGGTCACTTATGATAGATATTGCACCTAAAGTGGGGAGGAAGTTGGCTGCAGAGAGAACTCATCCAGTGATCTTAAATTCTGTCCTGTAAATTGGATTCCCTCAGTTATTTCTGTTAGAGGAATTACTCTAACAATGCACTTTTGTATGCAGAACTGTCTTTGGGCATTCGGTATCACCACAATGCACACAAAAGCCCTTTTTCCCCCTTTCCCTGAAATGGGGAGGGAAGTTCAGAAAGGCCAGGCTGGCCAATCCGTGTCCTGTGGCCCCACTACTCAGGCTTCCTAGCCAGGGGCAGCCTCCCAAATGAGCAGAAATGATGGAGTGAGTCAAACAGCCAAGCCTGGCACTTCCACAGAATTGCTTTATGGTTTGAGGCTCTAATTTGCATTCCTATTTGTCTGTCTCCAAACTGGTGAATGGTGATGACATCTACATTACTAGAGAGTAGATATGATGTCTATTTATCCAAAATTCTACATGTTCAGAATTGCACCTCAGTCAATGAAGTGGTTTTTTTGTTTGTTTGTTTTGATGGTAGCGGTGGTGATGATGAAGAAGGTGATACCAATGATGAAGGCCTCAGACTGCTCCGGTTCAAATCTTACTCTTACAGATTTAAGACAAATTCTCTGACCCTCGGTTTTCTCGTATGTGAAGTGGGATTAATGATAGTACCTAATTCTGAGAGTATCGGGGATGAAATGATCCATGTAAACTGCTTGGGACAGTGTCTGGCATAGACATGGTAAAACAGGAGGTTTTATGAGAACCATTATGGTGAAGATGAGAACACTGCGACATCAGTTAGGGGACAAAGTAGAGGATTCTAGTTAAGATGACAAAGTGATTTGGGGAGAGTGCTTAGGAATAATTTGAAATTTGTTCTACCAAGTTTTGCCAAGGCAGTAAAATACATCTGAGGCTGCAGTTCCTGCCTCCTGCGGAGTACTAAGCAGAGGCTGGCTGTCTAATGGCCCTTGGGTGGTGGGTGCTTTATCTCATCTGCATAGGTCCCTGGGAGGCAATGCAGTGAAAGTCCCCCTGTCTTCTGGAAACAGTCCTCAGCGGCTGTGACAGCTGGGTTTTAAAAGGAGAAACTTGGATTTGAAACTTGGGCTAGGCTCAGAAGGAATTCCTTTTGTGAGTGTCTAATTGCTCTCTGTCCTCATTGGTAACCCGGACTTCCCCAGGCTCGCCTGTCATTTTCCAAAAATGGCTTGACACTAATTGGCCATGCCAGAGAAACCATTACTGAAAATTTAGAGGCTTCTGGTGGATTTTTTCTTGCCAAATACTTGGCAGGAGTTTCATCTCATCTTACTTAATATTAAGCTCCTCAAATCCAAAAGGCTGCAGGTGGTCAGAACTGGTAGGAAGCAGAGGAATTTAGCAGCCTTACCCCCATGTTGCCCCAAAACATGTACAACACAGCTGGCCGTTAGGAGATGCCCACAGTGGCCTTTACCCCTCCCCTAACCTCACCTGCTCACAGCCTCAAGTGGCTTGTCCACTGCCTAACATAGCACTGGCACTAAGAGTACCCATGACATATCTGTTAAATGTACTTTAAAAAAATATTCAGATATGCTGGGTGTGATGGCTCACACCTGTAATCCCAACACTTTGGGAGGCCAAGGCGGGAGGATTGCCTGAGCTCAGGAGTTCGAGACCAGCCTGGGCAACACGGTGAAACCCCATCTCTACTAAAATACAAAAAATTAGCTGCATATGGCAGCGTGCGCCTGTAGCCCCAGGCACTCAGGAGGCTGAGGCAGGAGAATTGCAAGAACCTGGGAGGTGGACGTTGCAGTGAACTGAGATTGTGCCACTGCATTCCAGCCTGCGCAACAGAGCGAGACTCCATCTAATAGAGTATATATAAATATATATATAGATAGATAGATAGATATCCAGATATAATTTCCGGACCATACAATTCACCATTTAAAGTATACCAGTCAGTGGTTTTTAGCATGCTCACAGAGTTGTGTCACCACAATCAATTCTAGAATATTTTCATCACTCCCAAAGAAGACCCATGCCCTTAGCAGTCACTCCGCATTCCCCATTGCCCCCCAGTGCTAAATCTATTCTCTGAGTGACTCACACAGTAGGTGCTTGGTAGAACCATGGTCTTCCAGTCCAAATAGACCGTGGCCGGCTTGTGTTCTGAACTGACCAGTAAGGATGAATTAATCTACCTCACCCTGGGCTGCCATCCTGACGTGGCAGCAGGAATAGATGGGCAAGAATGACCAGGTACTGGGAAGACCAGGCCTCTATGGAGGCTCCAGATTTCAGACCACGTGCCCAAGTGTCTAAGAAATACAAATTGATTTATTTTTTTCCAATAACAAAAGTTTCTGTCTATGATGTACCCCCTTTCCATCAGGTAGTAGGGACTTGATTTCGGTCAATTTGTGTTTTCAGTTTTGGTCAATTTATATGTCCTGTTTATGCCAAGGCATGGCGGTAGGGGAGGCATCTATCCTGCCACCCTCACTGGCATCACTGGGATGTCCTCATCCCCAACCAGTGAGTCCTCTGTCTAGATAGAGGCTGCTGGGCTTCTTCCTTGTATCAACCCTAGGCCAGTTCAGAATGGTGCCAGGTCCACTAGAGGCTTGGGAGACATTCTATCTACCCTCATCCTCTGGGCTATGGGAAAGTCACTTCCATCCCCATCTTGGGCCTGGAATCATGTTGCTGCCATCCTGCCACACTTTGTCTGAGGAGTTCTGCATGCCTGTCTCATGGCCAAATGTCTGCACAATCACATAGACACTTCTCTGCTGACCTTATGGGGTGGGCACAGCATGGGAATCCAGGGCCTTGCTGTCACTCTGGACTCTGCTCAGGGACTGAGGACACAGTTTTCTGCTTCTCTTAGATTCTTAAACCTACCTGGGATCTCTTTCCAGCCAGGGTCTCAGCTCAAGGTGAGCTGGGGAACGGGTCCTTTTAGGGGCTCCCTGGTGCCCTCCCTCTAGTCCTCTCACTCCTCCATCCTGGGAACCCTCCTGCAGCTACCAGGTGGGGGAAAGCATGGTGCATTCTTCCAAATCTTTGCTATTGCAACTAGGTTTGTGAAATGTAAAAGCCAAGATGGGTTTATTTCTTTGCTGTGTATTCTCTGGCATTCCTTTCCAAGGCAAGGAAAGCAGAATGTCTAATGCCCGAAAAGGGAAGGGCATACATGCAACAGGAAATACCAGGAAAGGAAATCTGCACTCCTGTTTCACCACTCTTTCCCCACCACACCTTCAGAGCCTCAGCAACACCCACGAGGCAGGGGAGAGGCTGCCTTGGCTCTTCTCTGGATGCTTTGACAGAAATCTGGAATTCTCCTCAAGTTAGCCTGAATAGGAATTAAGTCACACATCACTGTGTGCCTCTTGCAACCCCATCTTTGGATCCTGTGTGTCTGCTACAAGATAAGTTGTCCCAGCCAGGGGTATTGCTCACTTCAAACCATTTGTGAAGAACCTCAGCTTCCTCCCAGCCTGAAGCGAGTGCCTTCTTGCTGTCCCCCGGCCTCCTAACTGCTTCTTTCCCACCATGCAGGCAGGTTTTGCGGCGACAAGGTCCCGGAGCCCCTGTTCTCCACAGACAGCCGGCTCTGGGTGGAGTTTCGCAGCAGCAGCAACATCCTGGGCAAGGGCTTCTTTGCGGTGTACGAAGGTTTGTGCGTGGTGAAGGCAGCCCCTCGGTGGCTCCTCCTAAGCCCCGTCCTTCCCAGGGAGCCTGCTGTCCCTCTCCCAGCCCAGGCACTCCACGCCAGAGCCATGGGGGTGGGGGCAGCCACCGCAGGGGGCAAGTTGAGGATTTCAGAGCTCCCCCACACCCACTGGAATCAGAACCTCTGGGAGGCGTGGCCCCAGCTGCCACAGTTTGCAAACTCCCCCAGGCGATTCTGATGCACAGCGAAGGTAGGGAACCACTGCTTTACGTGGTGTTTTCTTTCTAAGAAAAAAATTCAGAGTTAAGACAAATGCAATCCTGCCTTTCCAGAGGCACCGTGTTTATGGGGTGGAGATGAAAATGTTGGCGAGTGGAGCCACCCAGTGGTGACAAGCGGCCCCCACTTTCCTTCCTAAGGTCTGACCGGGGCCCCCGTCTTCCTCCCCTGTTATCTCGTTCTAAAGCTACCTGCGGGGGAGATATTCACAAAGATGCCGGTCAGATTCAGTCTCCCAACTACCCGGATGACTACAGACCTTCCAAGGAATGTGTCTGGAGGATTACGGTTTCGGAGGGGTTTCACGTGGGACTGACCTTCCAAGCTTTTGAGGTGAGTGCTGCTCAGACCGGCTTCCCAAGGAAACGGCAACTTTTACTAGATGCCCTCCTCTTTGTAAAGATGGGTTTTCGTTTTTGGCTAAAGCAGGAACCTAAGAGGCCATTCTCAAGCCCATGGTGAATCATGCCTGGACATCTGATGTCAACATCTATGCAGGCTTTGAAATGGGGTTCGTTGCCTTTCTGAGGGCAGTAAGAGAGATTGAGAATAATAATTCAGGATGGGATCCAGGGAAGCTTGGTAGAATTGTTCTTCTCTGTTTATTGTCTTAGACTGTTCTCAGCTTGGCTCACCCTTGGCTTCTGCAAGTCAGGAGAGAGCTAGGAAGCAGCATGGAGAGACCCGGGACACAGTTAGGTCCTTTGGCCTCTTGGTTAGATTTTGAGAGTGATACGCTGTTTGGGTTCTCTTCTTAAAAACTTTAAAGCGGAACCATCTGCCATCCACCTTGCCTCTGTTTCTTCCTTTAGATCGAAAGGCACGACAGCTGCGCATATGACTACCTGGAAGTCCGGGATGGCCCCACGGAAGAGAGTGCCCTGATCGGCCACTTTTGTGGCTCTGAGAAGCCGGAGGACATGAAATCGAGCTCCAACAGAATGTGGATGAAGTTTGTGTCCGATGGCTCTATCAATAAAGCGGGCTTTGCGGCCAATTTTTTCAAGGGTATGAATTAGCAGTTTGTTTCCACTTTTAGGCACAAGAAGAAATATTGCTCCCTGGCTTAAAACACATAAAACCATATGGAAACATACTACCAAACAAGGCTCCCTGCAGAGAAGACAGCCACGCATTTTAGAGCTGGGTGCGGAGGCCCCAGCAGAGTTCCCAACTGATCAGGAGCAGGCTCGCCTTTGCTTCCACACAACAGAAAGTTCTGTACTTGGAAATTAGATCTAACAACTTTACAAAAGCAAAGTACATAGGCTGCGAAACTGAGCATGGATAACAACAAATATTTGGATAGCAGCGAACATTAATTGATCACCTACTGTGTACCAAGAACTGTGTAAGGTACTTACTTGACTTACATAATGCCATTTAATTCTCCAAATAACTCTTTGAGTTAGGTTTGGATCAAGGCTGAGAAGGGCTTCTCAGGATCATGCAGGTAGTTAAGTGGCAGGTCAGGGATCCCAGCCCCGCTGGCCTAATTCCTAAGCTCAAACTCTTTCCACAATACTGCCACTCTTCCTTGATGTGGGCCAGAGAGGGAACCCAGGTGTCCAGCTCCTGGAACTAATGTCAGCACCCCCAGACTACATGCTTACCCCCACATGATGGGGGTCAGAGGAGAGTAAGGGGTTGGCACTCTGGGAACAAATTTGCATGTTGCCTTGGGGACCTGCTGCTCTGGAGGGTCCTGATGGAACAGGGCCCAGAATGGCATGTGCAGACCCAGCTTTCCTGGCCCCAGAAGAGCCAGCTTCCAAGCCTCCTTTGAATGGGCAGGTGCTCCTTCTCTGAAGCCCTGAAGACCACACCCTAAGAGGGAAGCACAGCTGCTCCCCATGCATTGGGCCTGGGCGCCCTGGAGCATAGCGGCTACCCTTGAGTAGACATGGTCAGTCCTCTGCTGCTGTGGCCTCTTAATCAGTGACCCCCCCCTTCCCCAGCTCCCCTCCCACTTGTGCTTGCCCAGAGGCTGCTTTCTCCTCCTCCCTCCTCTCCTAGGACTCCTGGCTCAGCCAGCACAGAAATCCCAATCCCTCCCCTGACTCCCATTCTCTCCTTCTGCCCCGTCTTAGACCTTCTCCCAGGTTCTGCATGAACAGCCTAGGTATCAGAAGAACCCACTTCTGCAGTGTCACCCAGAGCAGGCAGCCATTTGTCCTTACTGAAGCCTCAGTTTTCCTCTCTGTAAAATAGGAAGGACATCTGCCCACTGTGCCTAACCGATTGTTGTGAAGCCCCAAAGAAAGGACGGCTGTGGAGGCACTTTAAAAGCTGGCAAGTGACAAGCAAGGGCTGGGGCTGTTATTTTTTCCTATTTTGAGGCATCGGGGAAGAGCAAAACCCAAACAGCAACAGAGCAAGACTCATGATGGCTCTGAAGGATCGGAGACAAAACTGAGTTGTTTCTCAAGTCAAAAACAAAAACAAAAAAAGAGCCAGGCCACAGCAAGTACTTTGAAAGCAAGTCAGCTTGCGATGGCACAGGGAAGATATGACAGCTTTAGTTGAGATGCCTGGAAATTCACAGCCCCCGCCCCACCCTTGCCCAGCCTGCACATGCCTGGTGTTTCCCAGCCTGGGGTGCCCCCGTCTGACTTGGCGGCAGTGACACTGACTGGGTGGCCTCAAGCAAGTTGCATGATATCTCCAGTCGCACAGCTTCTGTTGCACAAGCTCCAGGAGAGACAGTGCTGCCAGGTAACTGCAAGGTTGATGTCAGGAGAAAATGGAATGGTGGAAGTGAGCACACCCAGTCTAACGTTTAGTCCCATTAATTGCCTTTGCTGGGGAAGCAATCTTTGAGGTGGTTATTCTTTTTGGAAAAACACATGCGTCAGTTTCTTCTTGCTATTGTGATGGACTGGTTTCCTATTGCTGCTATGGCAATTTACCACAGGCTTGGGGACTTAAAGCAACACACACTTACTTTCCTACAGTGGTGGAGGTCAGAAGTCTAACACGGGTCTCACTGGGATAAAATCAAGGGAGGGGTGCAGAGCTGCATTCCTTCTTGAGGCTCTGAGGGACAATGTATTTCCTTGCCTTTTCGAGCTTCTAGGAGCTGCCTAAATTCCTTGGCTCGTGGTCCTCTTCCATGGTCAAAGCCAGTAATGGCTCATGTGTCACACTCATGCCCGCTGCCTCACAGACCTCTGCTCCTGTCCACTCATCTCCTCCTCCTGACCTAACTTCCTTCCACCTCTTTCCCTGATGTGGACCTGGTGTTGAACTTGGGCCCACCCAGATAATCCTGGAGAATCTCCCTGTCTCCAAGATCCTTCATTTAACCACACCTGCAGAGTCCTTCTTTAACTTAATTAAGAGCCTTCATTTAACCACACCTGCAGAATCTGTTACATCAAGGTAACAGATTCACAGGTTGCAGAGGCCAAGCTGTAGACAGCTTTGGAAGGCCTTATCCTGCTTCCCACGTGTCATGAATGATTATGAGGTTGTTATTCTAATTGTTTATTCTAGTCCTCTTGGCCTTCTCCTCCCTTGACTTCCACCCCAGAGTCTGTAAGTTGGGTGCTGGGGCTCCATTCCAGGGGGAGAACTGGTAACCACTGACCATCCACACCTCACTGCTGATGCTGCTGGTGGTCAGCAATGCACAGTCTGAGAGGACCAGCTAAAGCTGGAGATTAGGCTTGCCAGATTTAGGAAATTAAAAAAAAAAAAACAAGATGCCCACTTAAATTTGAATTTATTTTTTTGTATATGTCCCAAATCTCACATGCTGTGCTGAGAAGAGATTGATGGTTTATCTGAAAGTCAAATTTAACTGGACCTCCTAGATTTTTTATGGAAACTTTGCTGGAGATGCCAGTCAGGGCAATGGAAGGGAGTATTTCTGTGATGCTCACTGGTTTGTAAGAGACCGAGGAAGTACCTGGATCTGCTCAAGTAACCATGATAGCCAGCTCCATTTGCCAGTTAGAAGATGCCACCTTCTCTCTCCTCCCCATCTAGCGCGCTTTCAGCATGCATCAGTCTATGTGTTGGTGCCGTGTTAGGGCTGGAGACACCGAGGAACGCACACAGTAGTTGTCCCCAGGTGCTCAAGGTGGTGAAGGAGATCAGCAGCAAATGCACTATGACATTGCCGTATGGACCTCAGTGGAGGCTGTGAGACTCAGTCTGGGATGGGGCTCAGATTATCCAGCGTCCCACTTTGAGGGCATTTCAATTTGCAAACACCTTTTTAGATCCCTGTTGAAGTGTGGATTGAGGCCCACCCAAAGTAACTTAGTGCGTAGACCCAGCTTGACTTTTTTGTGGTAAAGAGAACTGCAGAGAACAACATTTAGAAAAGAAGAAATATACAACATTGACCTTGACCATGAATCTTAAAGTAGGAATCAGGATTAGCAGAAACCTCATCTAGACCTATTAAATTGGGGAAAGGACATCTACGCAATGCTGGCCACATGCCAGGATCTACGTTATCTCACTTTTCTTGATTACAACCCCCTGGCAGGAATCATTGTGGCCACTGTTTTCCAGTTGAGGAAGCTGAATTCCTAAAGTGGCTGGGCTGGAACTAGAACCTGGGTCTGTAGGATTCCATAATCCACGCTCTTTCCACTAAGGAGACCTGAAAGCCACAGGGAAGGAACTTGAAGGGGTTGGAATTTTTCCTTAGTGTTTGTGATTCCATTCTGACACTGGTCATCTTTCCATCTTCCCGATACCACAAGGGTGTAGGCAAAAGGGCTCTGGACGTGGCAAGTGGAGTTCGGGGTGCTGGCTCCGTGTTCCCTGCTAGCTCCCCGCTATCTTGCAGATCAGCTTCCCTTTCTGTGACCAGCTCACACCTGCTTTGCTCCTCAATGTGGTCTCAGTGCTTGGCACACAGTAGGCTCAGTAAATACCTAGTGAGCGATGAAAGAATGGATAGATCAATGAATGAATGGGGCTCAGTTTTCCTGTTGGTGGGTGGGCATCCTGCTTCCTGCTCTGCCTCCCTTGCCAGGCTCTCCAGGAGAAGAGCAGGTGAGAGACCACAGCCTGTGCAGCTCTGTCCAACAGAAATAGGAGACGAGGCACAACCACGAGCCACGTCGGTGGCTTTGAATTTGCTGGCAGCTGCCTTGCAAAAAAAGGAGAAACTGGTGACATGAATTTCAATGACATTTTTATTTAATGTAACATACAAAATAATATTTTAATACGTAATCAATATACACAATATTAATGAGCTATCTTATGGTTTTCATACTAAGTCTTGGAAATCCAGTGTATGTTTTATGCTTGTGGCACATCTCCACTTGGACCAGCCAAATTTCAGGTGCTCGGTAGCCATGCGTGACCGGGGGCTGCCGTATCAGACAGTGCAGGTCAGCAGACTGAGCCCAGCCAGCTTCCCCAGCCCAGCCTTTTTCCAGCAAGGCCATCGGTCAGATGTCCTGTGAACACAAAGTACCCAGCGCGTGTGTCAGGACTTCTCCAGTGAAAGAAACTGGAAGAGGAGCTCAAAGGCCCAGCCGAAGAGCTGGAGCAAGCCAAAGAAGCTCTTGCCTTGATGCCAGTTGGCAGGAGCTCTGCCCAGGGCCCAGCTGGCGCCTGAAGCTGGCCAGGGTGCCAGTTGGCCTCTGCACCCCCTCCTTGTGCCAGATGGCAGTCCCTCTCAGAGCCTGCTGGCTGGCAGCAAGAAGAGCACCTTACATTTCTGGTTACTTTGGGAGAAGTCGGCAGCACTCAAGGGCTGGCCGGGCCATTTTGGTCCCATGCCCCCCACATAAAGAATTAAAGGATTCTCACCTTGATCCCTCCCTCCCCCATCCCAGTGCTGATAGATCACCATGAAGGGCTTGGTAAGAGGACTGGCTTCCTTCAAGGGATTTCTTCAAAAGCCTAAGAAGGTACCCTGCCTTTCCTTTCTTTGACTTTCTCTGAAACAATTTTTGGGATCTTGTCTCAGCCATCTCATCCTCTAACCACTTCCTTCTTTTGCTGATACCACCTGGACAATGAGAAGACTCCGGAGCACCTGCTACGCTAAGCTGAGCCCTGCTTCCACTCTCTTCCACTCCCATGCTCTCCCAGATTTTTCTGGGAGTCTTGGCCTTGGCCTTGGCCTCTGCAGCCCAGAGCAAGCACGAGCCAGTGGGCTTGGAGCAGGTACTGTTTTACCACAGTGGGAGGTGACATGGGCAGCCCTGACCCCTCTGAAGACAGGGCCCCATGCATCTCTGTGCCATCCAGCCAAGCTGGAGCAGGGCTGTAAATGGCCAAACATGCCATGGCTCTCGCTAGAGAGAGCTCAGGTGTAAAAGCATGCCTTTCATCTACCTCCCAACGCCAAGTACCTTACCTTCTAGTCTCTGGAGGAATTATGTTTTTTGCTTTCTCTCCAAGTCTATCCAGTGGGTTCTCTCCCTTCACCTGGCTAAGCTGGCGCCAAGAGGCCTGCTCCTCTATACACCTCTTTCTTGCCATGTGTCCTGCCCACAGCCACAGCATCTTCTGGCATCAGAGTCTACTTCTGCCCCCAGCCTTGGTCCTTTGTCATCTGTCTCTCCTGATGGGCTCTTTCCTTGGTTTCCTTCTGCTTCCTCCCTAGGTCCCCCAGCCTGTGTCTTGAGTTTGCTGTGCTGCCTTCCTGCCCATCCATCTTCCTCCACTGGCCCATCCTCAAAGCATTTTCTCCCTTTCTGTTCTTGCCTTGTCCCCCTTCCCTCCTCAGGCCTGCACTGCCCCACTCCCACCTGGTCCAGGTGTGCCCAGGGAAATTTATCTTTTCACTGCCCATCATTGTGTCTCTCTACGCACTGGAAATTTGAAAGCAACTCTGCTGCTGTCTATCATGATGGCTTTGGTGTGTCGGTGGCCCATATGCCGGGTACTTCACATGCATCATTTTCAGTCGTCACAGTCCTAAAAGCAAATATTATCATTGTCACTTTAAAGCAGGAGGGGGCTCAGTGAGGCGAAATCACCAGCAGTTACCCAGTTTATTGGAGGAAGATCCACTGGAGGGTCCACCCAGGTCTGACTCACTTTAAGGCCTGGACTCTTTCTGCTACTTTTTCAACTATTTTCTTCCTTCTGTACTTTTTAGCAAATGTATGGCATTTGCTAAATGCACCGATGGCATGCTACCTGCTGTTTCTTAGTCACCCCAAACACATCACTAGGCACTTGGTGACGAACCCCATCCGATGCCCCTGCTAACTCAGCCTCATGATGGCCTCTTCCTGCAGGTATTCCTGGGAGCACTGGCTAACCTAAGAGCCCCGTGTTTTCTGTAACCTTGAGTATCTCCCTGTGCATACCTCTTAAGAGTATTTCTAAAACTACTAAATCACAGATTCTGTCTCTAATGTCCAGAGAATAGTGACACATTTCATCCAGCAATGTGTTCTTTGTCTTCACCTTTTATTTAATGTCTCTGGGAAGCTGCATATTTATGGGGGCAGGGAAGTCCTCAGTTCCATGGCATTGACATGAAGTCTTTGGTATGGAACGTTGTGAGATTTATTTGAACTCTCAGATGAACACCAATGACCAAACACCTCAAAGAATTCGCTTCTCCAGGCCTGACCTCCCCTCAGTGGAGCACACCCCAGCTAACATAACGAGGTGTTCCTGCTCATGTGGTGAGAGTCCTGCCTTTACTGTGGCTGCTGCCTGATTTTCAGATGTGGACACGGAACTCTTTGGGAGGTGGTCACTGGGAGTGGCTTCTGTTTCTTAGAGGACACTTGCTGGTGACGCTGGGATGCAGAAGGGTTGCGAACAGCCAGGCGGCTTTGTGACAATGTAACCTGGGTCACCTTCCTTCCCCACCAGAGGTGGACGAGTGTTCCTGGCCAGATCACGGCGGGTGTGAACATCGCTGCGTGAACACACTGGGCAGCTACAAGTGTACCTGTGACCCTGGCTACGAGCTGGCTGCCGATAAGAAGACGTGTGAAGGTTGGTGTGGGACCTGCCAAGCTGGAATGAGAGGGGATATGGGACAGGTCTTAGAGGAAGTGAGCCAGAGATGGGGCCACCAGACGGCTGTGCCGGAACAGCAGGCAGACATGGTGGAAGACCCACCTGCTTCCGAGAAAGAGAAACAGCCTTACAGCTGTCACAAACATAGGAAAACTGCTCAAATTACATAGACTCTGCTCTAGAGACTGAAATCGAGGCCATGGTTTATTTTCTTCTAGGACTGTGTGAATAATTTAATAATTTACATAATTATTAAAGTAGGAAACAAAAGCAAAGAAAAACCGTGAGCACTCCAGTGACTCAGCTGGTAGCACTTTCATTCATCCTATTTCTGCCCGGCTTGTGTTCCATCTTCCTTGACCACCTGCGTGAGTCTGCTTGTTCATGCAAGCTTGGTGTGGTGAGTCACTTGCTGCACACATTTCTAATGCTCCTTTGGCCCAAGCCATATGGAGCCCCCAGCTTTGCCACTGGGTGACAGGAAAGCACAAATGCATTGTCATTGTTTTTAAAAGCAGTAAAGCTGTATCCCCAATTTTATCCCTTCAAATATTCAGTTGAAACTATTAGTTTTGAACAAAGGATGCTGAATTAATCAGATTGTCTAACGTTTTAAAATTATTATTACAGAACAGCAGGGCTCTGTTGCTCCCGGAGGGAAATCACAGCCACCTGGAACCAAAACCAAATGAATCCTGTTTCCGTTTTCCCCGTGCAGTGGCCTGTGGCGGTTTCATTACGAAGCTGAACGGAACCATCACCAGCCCCGGGTGGCCGAAGGAGTATCCCACAAACAAAAACTGTGTCTGGCAGGTGGTGGCCCCCGCTCAGTACCGGATCTCCCTTCAGTTTGAAGTGTTTGAACTGGAAGGCAATGACGTATGTCTCTGTGCTCTAATTGATTGGGGACTGTGTTGAGGGGTGACTTGGAGCTGGAAGCCAGTGAGGGGCTGGAAGGGCAGGGAGATGGCTCGTGTTGGATCTGGAGCTTTGGACGGTCACAGGACCTGTGCTGCACTGAGAAGCATCTGGGGAAATGTTCTCTCCAGCAGTTTCGGCGGCACGCCCTCTGCAGATAGAGCACCTCTAGCCCTCTTGTCGCGGATACATTCAAGGAGAATCAGGTCAAGAGTGGAGGAGGCAGGTGTTGAGGGTGGAAGATGTCAGGACTGGGCTGTGAATCTGGGGGCTGGTGTGCAGCTGAGGTGAGTAAAGGCGGTGAGGATCAGCTGGGGGCAAGAACGCCACAGACAGCCCGTTTCCTCTCTCGGGCAGTGGTCGTGGATGACCAAGTCAGTTGAGGTCCAGGCAGCACCCTACAGCTGGAGCACTAGTCAGGTACGCCTATGTCTGCACCTTAGACTGGAGGGACACCCTGGGGCACACAAGCCATTCCTGAGACTCCCCTCCCCACCCTAGCTGAGCTGGGGAATCTCACCCTGAGAATTGTACTGGTGTAGCTGTCACCTGAGAGTCAGGCCTCTGGGATAATGGAAGAGGACCTCAGTGCCAATCACCCCAATGCATGGAGGCCGTGGTGCCAATGAGGGTATCGCCCCGCAGTGAATATGGTGCAGAAAAAATAATCCTTAAAAGCAATCAATAAGACCCCTTAACAGTGAAGTTCTTTTTGAGGAAAATCATTGCTACAGCAGGAAACGTGTCCTAGCTCCACCACTGCTGAACTACGTGACTTCAGACAAATGTCCTCCCCTCGAGCTTGTTTCCCTGCCTGAAAACATAATGGAGTCAGATTCCATTGGTGGTTTGCAGATTTTTCCTCCTTCTCTTCCTTTTGCTTCTCCCTCCTCCTCTTCTCCTTCTAGAAGTGGGGCCCTTTGTCCAAGTAAATTTCATGTGGAAGCCTAATATACAAAACAAATCAAAGCAAGGCTATAGTTATGGGGATGCAGGTTTGGGAGCCCTGTGCTCTTGTGCCAGGTGGTGGCACCTCCACAGAGCCTCAGCAGGCGAGCCGGGGGTCCCCCTGTGCCCTCTGGAGTTCATTCAAAAGACCAACATAGCAAGGGACCACCCCCCCACGGCAGGGTGCGGTGCTCAGGAAGGGTGCGGTGCTCAGGAAGCAGGTGAAGCTGTGTGCTGGGTGTCAGGGGTGGGGACAGGGACTCTGGGTGGCTCCTCATCATGCTCCCTTGCAGGTCTGTAAGTACGACTTTGTGGAGGTGCGCAGCGGCCTGTCCCCCGATGCCAAGCTGCACGGCAAGTTCTGTGGCTCGGAGACACCCGAGGTCATTACCTCACAGAACAACAACATGCGCGTGGAGTTTAAGTCCGACAACACGGTCTCCAAGCGCGGCTTCAGGGCCCACTTCTTCTCAGGTATGCGAGGGCGGAGGTGAGGCTGAGGCAATGCAGGTGAGACGGCTTTGCGGACTCCAGGCTCTGGGGTCCCTGGCCCCCTCCTCGCTCTCTCTGCCTGCTCCTGCTTCCCTCCAGGTTTGGAGGGGGCATGCCTGGATCCAGGGCTTTAAAAATATATCTATTTGTGGCTGTGTTAGTTTCCTAGGGTTGCCATAATACATTACCACAGACTGGTTGGTTTACCACAACAGAGTCTTATTCTTACAGTTCTGGGGGCCAGAACTCCAAATTCTAGGTGTCTGCGGGGCCATGCTCCCTCGGAAGGTTCTAGGGCAGAAGCCTTCCCTGCCTCTTCCTGGTCTGTGGTGGCTCCCCGCTGTCCTTCACATTCCTGCCTGTAGCTACGTCATCCTAATCTCCGTCTCCAACTTCACCTGCCCTCTCTTCATCTCTGGGGCTCTGTGTGCCCTCCTTTTCTTATAAGGACTTCAGTCATTGGATTTAGGGTTGATCCTAAATCCAAGATGATTTCACCTCAAAATTCGTAACTGATTCTCCTGCAGAGACCCGATTTCCAGGTAGGATCACATTCTGAGGTTCCACGTTGTATTAGTCTGTTTTCACGGCACACCTGAGACTGGGTAATTTATAAAGAAAAGGAGGTTTAATGGACTCACAGTTTCACATGGCTGGAGAGGCCTCATAATCAGGGCGGAAGGCAAAGGCACATCTTACGTGGAGAACGAGAGCCAAGTGAAAGGGGAAACCCCTTATAAAATCATCAGATCTTGTGAGACTTACTCACTACCATGAGGTCAGTATGGGGGAAACCACCGCTGTGATTCAATTATCTCCCACTGGGTCCCTCCCACAACACGTGGAAATTATGGGAGCTACAGTTCAAGATGAGATTTGGGTGGGGACATAGTCAAACCATATCACACATGAATAGGAATTTTGGGAAGACACTACTAAAACCACTACAGCAGCACAAGGGACCCTGCTTCTCAAATGGAAGGCCATGAACCCTCGGGGCTGGCACAGCAGCTGTAGAAACAGCCCGTTCTCCTTAGCGTGACATCTGATGCTGGACACTGGGTTGGCCCGCCTGTCCTGCTAGCCACATTCCCTCTGCAGGTGCCCTGTGCTCTGATCACAAATCATCCCTGCACTGTTCCCCCACACCATCACCCTCTATTCCTAAACCCCCTCCCATTCTCTCTTCATTCCCACTGCCTGTGGCGCTCCATCTCCCTGGAACATCCTTCATCCTTCCCTCCTTAGGAAACACCTACTTCAACCTGAAGACCCACAATGTCACTTTCTGTCACATTCTCTGGCTTCATCTTATTCCTCTATCTTAGTTCATTTTGTGCTGCTATCACAGATTACCACAGACTAGATAATTTAGAGTGAACAGAAATGTATTTGGCTCATGGGTCTGCAGGCTGGGAAGTCCAAAATCAAGCAGGAGCATCTGGCAAGTGCCTTCTTGCTGTGTCATAACAAGGTGAAAGGCATCCCACAGGTGGGAAAGAGAGGTGAGGGGGCCAAACTCCTCCTTGATCAGGACTCCACTCCTGTGATAATGAGCCCTCATGACCTAATCATGTTTAAGGGCCCCATCTCCCAACACTGTTGCATTGGGGATGCAGTTTATAAGACATGAACTTTGGGGAAACTTTCAAACCATAGCAGCCTCCTAGCATATTGATTGTTCTTTCATCAATGTCCCCATAGCACTCTCTCCCTCCCTTCCATCATATCTCTTGTCACTGGGGCCAGCTCCATGGGGCTGCACACAGAAGGGCCCACACTGCTTTAAGGTTCTGTTGTCATCACCTTGAAATTCATAATGGCGTTTGAACAAAGTTCATCTTGCACTGAGCCTTGCAAATTGTGTACCAGGCCCTGCATGTCACATCATATTAGAGTGTGAACTGTTTACAGCAGGAACTGTATTTTGGTTATCTTTATATTCTTAGGGCTTAGCATAGAAATGACCCAATTATTTGTTGATTTTATAGATACCCAGAGTTCTGTCTCCACAGGGTTTTGTTTTGTTTTGTTTGGTGCTCTCTCATTGAGAAAGTCATGCTTTTTGTCTTGAGTGTCTGTTGTGGGTGCAGTACACTACCAGGCTCAGAGATGTTGCCAGGGAAGTGCCCCCAGCCCTGGACAAGCTTCCATGCCAGTTAGGGGGCCAGGGATACACATCCTGCTAAGTCCCAACCTGGAGTACTATGGGGTAGGGGGTGCAACAAGGGCTGATGTTTGGAGAAGAGAAACCCGTGGTTGCCTAGAGCAGCGGGTGAGGCCTTTTTGCAGGATTTGGGGTGGTTTGAGTCAGGTTTTTTTTTTGAGACGGAGTTTCGCTCTTGTTACCCAGGCTGGAGTGCAATGGCGCGATCTCGGCTCACCACAACCTCCGCCTCCTGGGTTCAGGCAATTCTCCTGCCTCAGCCTCCTGAGTAGCTGGGATTACAGGCACGCGCCACCATGCCCAGCTAATTTTTTTATTTTTTAGTAGAGACGGGGTTTCACCATGTTGACCAGGATGGTCTCGATCTCTTGACCTCGTGATCCACCCGCCTCGGCCTCCCAAAGTGCTGGGATTACAGGCGTGAGCCACCGCGCCCGGCCCGAGTCAGGTTTTAAGGGATGGGAAGACATGGAGGTGGAGATAGGATGATTAGAGAGAAAGCAATCAGGGTCCGTCGTTGGGGAGGCAGTGTGAGCACAGGTTAAGGTCTCAACAGAGCACAGAGCCAGAGATGAGATGGGCGTGCACGGAGCCTGACCCATGCTGGGAAGCCAACAGCATGAGATGGGCCAAGTTGGGCCAGGTCAGGGATACACAGAGACCCTGGCCAGGTCATGAGGGACCCTAAACGCTGGGCTGAAGAGTAGGGACCTGATGAATAAGGAAGGCTGGCTGTTTGCAGGTTCCTGAGCAGGGGAAGCCTATGCTTGTCACCTGACCAAGCCACGCCAGTCAGTGTGGAGCTGGGAGGGCCAGGCGGCCGGAGGAACGGGGCAGCAGGGCCAGCAGGAGCCACCTCAGAGGAGGATGCAGCAGAGCCTCACAGGCAGGGCAGCTCCACATTTGCTGTAGAGAACCAGAGCACAGGGGAGAGCGCCAAAGCAGGGGTGAGGACCTGTGAGTCACCTGCGGAAGGACTCGGAGGAAGGAAGGGAGAGAGGTGGGTCAGTTCCGGGATGCTGGGTGGCTTCATCTCTTCTGCATTCATAAAGGGTCCTGCAGGGCTCATAGTTGTCCTGATGACATAAGCAGGTGAAATAGTGTTCAAGGAGACATTAATCATGGTGAACAAGAGGGTACAGAGAGGAAGACAGGGCTGACCCCTACAGTCATTCCGGTGATGGCAGGGAAGCAGGGGAGGGAGGCTGATCTTTGGTAAAGGCAGGAACAAGTTGGCTTAGGATAGGGTGGCTTATAAGAACCACAGGTTTAACAAAGGCCAGCGCTCGAATTCTCAGATAGTAATTATATGCTGTTCTCATTAATTCACCCTCATTTCACAACAACCCTGTGAAATGAGGATACCATTACTGTCTCCATTTTACAGGCGAGGCAACTGAGGCACAGAGGGCAGGAACGGCGCATGGCCACAAGAGCTAGAAGTGGTGGGATAGGGCTGGGCCTCCACTGTGTGCCCTGAGCACTTAGCTGCTCCACGTGGAGAGGGCGCTGTGGAGTCGCAGCACGTGGATCCAGGCCTCGGGTCAGCCACAGAGGATGCTGACTCATGGAGTGACCTTGGGCACATTAGCCATCCCCAGCCTCAGTTTTCTTACTTGTAAAGACCAGCAGATAGACAGCTCCCTCTAAGGCTGGGTAAGAATTAACTTAGATAATGCATTGAGTGCTTGGGGCCGTGCCCGTTCCACAGTAGACACTCAGTAAGTGGGGGTTACTGTTATTATTGTTACTATTGTGAGGAATACTAGCCTGACCTTCAGGGAGCTCCTTGTTTTGAGCAGGGAGCAGGGGCAGAGAACATACAGAAAGTGCTTGGAGAATTCACCACATACCAGGGCCAAGTGCTTGAAAAATTCAACAAGTACATACACAAGAAATAGAGGTGAAGATGCTTCCCGCTTCACTCCCCCAGCAAGGGAACAAGCAGGGGGAAGGGGAGCAATTAGAGAGGCTTCCCAGAGGAGGCTGCTTTTTTTTTTTTTTTTTTTTTTTTTTGAGATGGTGCTTCACTCTTGTTGCCCAAGCTGGAGTGCAGTGGTGTGATCTCGGTTCTCTGCAACCTCCACCTCCCAGGTTCAAGCGATTCTCCTGCCTCAGCCTCCCGAGTAGCTGGTACTACAGGCATGCGCCACCATGCCTGGCTAATTTTTTGTATTTTTAGTAGAGATGAGGTTTCACCATGTTAGCCAGGATGGTCTTGATCTCCTGTCCTTGTGATCTGCCCACCTCGGCCTCCCAAAGTGCTGGGGTTACAGGCGTGAGCCACTGGGTCCAGGGAGGCCGCTTTTAAGTGTGATTCTGAGCCCTAAGAGACGTTGGCAAGTTGGTGGTTCCTCTTAGAAGAGTTCATTGATCTCCCCAGACAAGGACGAATGTGCCAAGGACAACGGCGGGTGTCAGCATGAGTGCGTCAACACCTTCGGGAGCTACCTGTGCAGGTGCAGGAATGGCTACCGGCTCCACGAGAACGGGCATGACTGCAAAGAGGGTGAGGCTGGACCTCCGGTTGTTGGGGGGCAGGCTGGCCTTTGCTGCACCCCATGTCCCCGTGTACATGTGCATGAGTGAGGGGGTGGGGTGAGGAGCCCTTCCACCTTCTGAGCTGAGCCCAGCCACTGCTGTCCTTGCAGGAGAGTTTTCCGCAAGGCAGCCCGCTCCTTCAGGAGGCGCCTACCTGGGGGCCCAGGTGCTCCAGGCTGAGTTATTTTGCAAATGATTAAGCCCGCAGGCTCTGGAATCCGGCTGCCTGGGTCTAAGTCCTGGCTGCCGTACCCTAGCTGTGTGACCTTGGGCAAGCTATTTAACCTCTCTGAGCCCCAGTTTTTTTCTTTGTCTAAAAGGGTTTAAACCTACCTCCTTCTTAAAGTTTTTGTGAGGATCAAAAGAATGCCTAGAAAGTATTTCAGACTGTCTGATGCATATTATGCCCTCAAATGTCAATAAACATCAGCCATTTATGCCTTTGTCATATATTAATCACCACATACAGGTCTCATAGGACAGCAGGATTTGGAAGAAGCTTTGCTCTGTTCTCCATCCACTTTGGGGAATTCCTCAGGGCCAGGTGGCCTTTAATGTCCACTCATTCTGGAAAAAGACTTCCTTCTGTTCTTACCCTGCCCAGGGAAGGGAATTTGGGCATTTGTGATAAACACACAGGCTTCCAGGCCTTGGCCCCAGCCATGGAGGCCTGCAGAGGAGGTCAAGGGAAGGGGAAGATATGGAAGACACATGCCCCGATCTCTGGAATCTACAGTCTGGAGTTGGGAGAGTTGGTTGGGTGCCGCAGAGTCTGGTCAGGAGCTGCCTAGAATGTTAAAGGAGAAGCTGACATGTCTTCAGGAAGAGGTGGCCACCCTCCAAGCGCCCCCTGGGACATGGTCACAGGTGGTGGTGGGGCTGTGTGGGAGGCCAGTGGAAGAATCAAACTGGGAAGGAACAGTCAAGCCCCTGTGAGGTGAGCCCAGGTCAGGATCAGGCTTGCCTCCTGCAGTGTGGGAGAGAACAGGAGGGTCATCAACTCTCAAGTCCCACTCCTGCATGGTGGCTGCCTTTGTGTGGGTCGACCCCAAGGGCAGGAGGTGTGAGAGCAAATGTCCCAGGAGCTGAGCCACTGCTCCCGTGGGCTCCTGTTCTTCTCTGCGTGGCTGCAGAACAGATGTAGCACTGACAGAGGCAAATCTCTTCGGAGCATCCTCAAAGCTGCTTCCTCCCCTCTCTCCCCCCCGCCCTCCTCACCTGCTTCTCCAGCTGCTTCATCGTGGAGCCTCTGTGTTTGCGACACAGTCCACCATGCTTTCTAAGCAGTGGTAGCACTGGCTGCAAAGCCAGGCAGGCCCGGTTCGAGTCCTGGCTCCGCTCCCTATCGGCAAGGCACTGACCCTCTCCAAACCCATTTTCTTATTTGGAAAGTGAGAAGGACTAAAGGAGAGGAAGCATGAAAAATGCTGACCACAGTGCTCAATACAGAAAGAGAAATGCCAGCTATTGGCCAGGATGCCAGTCATCCAACAAGTCATGGGACCAGTCTTGGCAAACAGCACTGTAACCAGGACAAGCTTGGTAGACTCCAAATAAAGCCACTTTAAAAAACTGAAAGAAGCTTACAGATGGATAGTGCAGTGATGAAGGAGACCTTTGTGAGCCAAGATGCGTTGAGCACTCACCATGGGCTGGCAAGCCCTAAACCTTTCCCATGCATTCTCATTTAGTCACATATCGCCCCCACTCAGGTACCACCCTTTTACAAATAAAGACATTGAAGCTTACATAAGAGCCCCAAGTCCCACAGACTGTCACTGGTGGAACCAGGACTTGGGCTAAGGTCCACCTGACCCCACTGCCAGTGCCTCTAACATAGTTGCAAGGATAACTGCAATGTGGCTAGGAATAGAAAGATAGCCTGGCTCCCAAGCCACAGCCAGGAAGGCAGAAAAGCCAGTGCAAGGAAACCTGCACATCCCCGAGCCAGGAGATGTGTGAGTCAGGATGCCCCACCCCCACATTTGATAAGGGACCCTGAGACAATTAGGAGGGGAGGTGACCCCCCTAGAATGTCTCTCATACTGCCCATAGTGAATGACTTCTCTCTCTGTGTGTGTCCCCCGCCATCCCCAGCTGGTTGTGCACACAAGATCAGCAGTGCAGAGGGGACCCTGGCGAGCCCCAACTGGCCTGACAAATACCCCAGCCGGAGGGAGTGCACCTGGAACATCTCTTCGACTGCAGGCCACAGGGTGAAACTCGTGAGTCATTTTTGTAGTTTATTGAAAATGGGGACTTGGGTATCAGATGTGGGTTTGAGACTCTGCTCTGTCACTTTCCCGCTCTGTAACTTGCGGGAGGTTACTCAACGTGTCCAGGTCTCAGTTTCATTATCTGGAAAACATGGATACTAATGAAGTCTGCTTCATCGGGCTGTTGTGCAGATTCAGAGACAATGCACAAAAGCTCTGTCGATCACACCTGGGCACAGCGGGACCAGGAGGGGGCGGCATCCACCACCCACATCTGCAGTGCCGTTTCAGATTCACTTGTTTCCAGTTTTAATTTTTTACAAGACAATACAGTCTCATGATTTAAAAAATGAATCAGTACAGGAGGTTGGAAATAGAAATCAAAAGACCCCAGAGCTCTCATTCCCACTCTAGAAATGACCATGCTAAACACATTCTTGTGGATCCTTCCAGAAATTTTCTGTGCACAATCATGTCTGTCAATACACAGGGAAATATATGTTTTTATTACTCAAATTCCTCTAATAAAATCCTATTCATCTTTTTCCCACAACTTACTTTTTTTCCCATTAGTAACAGGAGACTAAATTCTTTATGCAAATTCCCTCTTGAATCAAGTTTTTTTTTTTTTTTTTTTTTTTAAAGAAGCAGTCTCGCTCTGTTGCCAGGCTGGAATGCAGTGACACGATCTTGGCTCACTGCAACCTCTGCCTCCTGGGTTCAAGCAATTCTCCTGCCTCAGCCTCCTGAGTAGCTGCAATTGCAGGCCGCCGCCACCACACCCAGCTAATTTTTATACTTTTAGTAGAGACGGGATTTCACCATGTTGGCCAGGATGGTCTCAATCTCCTGACCTCGTGATCCACCCGCCCTGGCCTCCCAAAGTGCTGGGATTACAGGTGTGAGCCACCACACCCAGA